TTTTCGGCCTAAAGAAGCATGACCCCAACCTGTTGGCAGCAGAACAGACTCCCACCCATGTTTGCCGGAATGGTGAAGATAGCTGGAGCTATAAAAATATATTAATAGTGTGTGCATCTGATCTTGGCTGAAAGTAGAAGAAGGGTTAGTATGAAAATACGTTTAGAATCTGGCAGCTGGCTGAGTCCACTAATAGCACCAGTTCTCATGATGTCTGGGATCCGCAGCCAGCATGACCTCGCCAACCTGCTGCTAGCGCTCTTTATGACGTGTCAGAGCCCACCACCATCGGGACAAAAACTGTTTTTGTTCTCTTCACGTGAGACCACCCAACAGTCCAACCATTATCCACGGTATACCGGTAGTGTATATTCAGTTCTTGGCCACGGGGAGTTGCTGACGATATCCCATCTGGCTGGGGGCTGGCAATCAGTCCACAGACAGAAAACATTCATGCCCTCATTAAGACTATCAATTAATGGGAACCACTTGTGCTGCACGTTGTCAGATGTGGACAGACTTTGCTGCATGCTAAATATCGCCGGACAGGTTGTCTGAGTACATCTACATACATGTTTAAGACAGAGGTTTATTACAATGTGAAAATCAATCAATTGTCAATTAGTCATAATTTAGCCACCTTTGACACTTGACAAGAGAGTTTTTTCAAGTTTTATGGCTGCAATAAAATCTGGTCAAAGAATAGTTCCTCTGGATACTTTTGAATATTGCACCACTTTCTGGTACTTTATAGCCTAGTTTTGTGGTCGTGGCCATTTGTTGCACTGATCAATCAAGAAAAGTGCTGAGTGCAGTCACGGACTGCCCGTAGTATGCCAAAAATTGGAATAAAACTTTGATTTACATCTAGAGCTTTGATTTAACTGAAAGATATGGCTTTTCTTTATTCACTTCTGTGCCTGATTTAAAAATGACAAAAATGGAGTTAGCCCATAGTTCTCAGTGGTTCGCTTTTATCTGCGATTCACTGGTGACCAGTCCTGGATGCACCCCACCACTCGCCCAAAGTCAGCTGGAACAGGCTACAGATCACACGTGATTGAAAGTATTTTCAGCAGACAGTGCATGAATAAATGGAGCGACAGATGAATCATCATAGTATATCATGTTTAGAGCAAGACATGTCGAGAAACAGTACAAACCTGAAAACGGATTTCGCAAAACTGACATGATGGAATTACTATGCTCGCTTCTATGTACTGGCCATGAAGGGTGCTGGTAACATTACATTTCACCAGGACACCCAACATTTGTAGTATTTTGAGGAACAGGACACCTTTTTTTGTATTTACACTTGTTACACTGATCTCAAGCTGTAAATGTTTTTTCTTTTTTCAATTTCAACTCTATTTCAGAGGAAAAGGCGCAGGATTTATAATAGCAGTTTATAGGAGGAGTTTATGGATAGCATAATTCACTCTTGTGTGTATTGGAATACACATTACAACTACTTGGGCAGGCAGAATAGTGGAGTTGGCCAATCGGTTCGGAGGTTCTGGGTTTGAATCTGGGCTGCGGTCTTCCTGGGTGCAGTGTACATGTTCTCCACAGCCACTGCTCTGAAACTTTCTCGTGAGCACATACAGTATAAATAGATAAGAGCAACCTAAATAGGCTCATAGCAAGTAGCACAGAGTCCATGCAGTGGAATGTGGGGCATGCGTGCAAGAGCATCAATATATTTAATAACAGAGTTCACCTTGAGATTCCTAACGTAGGCCTACTCTTTACTATGGAACACCGGCCTGTAGTTGGATCTGCAGGGGTGGGGGGAGGCTGCGGGGTTGCAGGGTGGAGGGAGCAGGCCTTTAAATGTGCTGTGTATCCTCTTCCACTTGTCAAGAATGTGTATCCAAATTGTTCCTGGTGACCATCAGCGCATGACGGAGCACTTGAGGAAGAGGCGGCTGAGTCAGGAGAGAGAGAGAGAGAGAGAGAGAGAGAGAGAGAGAGAGAGAGAGAGAGAGAGGAGGGCAGAACAGAGGAAGTGAGGAGGGGCATGCACGCAGCCCACACTGGATGAGACCGGTTCTGCTAGCACTCAGCACCACCCCTATGCTCCTTCTTCCTCGTCTCTAGTTTCCTGTCTTCATCTCAGCAGCCCAAGAGAAGAGAAGCCAAGTGACAATGACTGATTTTTTTTTTTCTTGTGCAGAGTTTTGAATGTTCACTTCAATTTGAACTAACAACGTAGGAAAGGAGATGACAGCTGTAATTGTTGGTATCCCAAACAAATCTGCAGGGTTTGCAGACCCCGAAGAGGCTAAAGATGTAAACATTCCTGGCAGCCTATGACAAATGTTTCCACTCCCGATTTGTCCAGACATCATCACATCAAAACTAGAGCTTGCAGAATGACAAAGTGTCGACATTGCATGCGCTTGATCACTTTTTGGCTTCTGCAGCTCGCTGGATCAGCTGTGTGACTCCTCCTCATTGCAACTACTGCGCGCAAACACGTTTAATCCAAACACTTTTTACGGTGCTTATTTGTGGGCTCTCGTGGCCCAGGTCGCGTGCACAAACACGCAGCTCTGGTGTCAGCTAGAAATCTAATCGCTCCACTTCTAATTAAGGCTTGTTTACAGACCATGACAGATAGTGAGCACCTTCTGTTGACCAGTAAACACACTGGAGCATCTTCTCATTTCATTAGCATCCATCACATTCTACTGTGTTCTCTTGATATTAGAATCCATGAACATTTTTCTGCGGTGAATTGTTTCTGAGCCGTTGACTTTTGGGTTGCTGCTCGAATGTGAGTCGCGCACGTGCGCAGCAGCCATAAATCAGGATTTCAAACTTCCGGCTGAGTCAGCATGTTGCTATATGTGCGGTATTGGGGATGTACACAATGCACATTATGTGCGCACATCTGTTTATGTTGACTTTGCGACGCACAGAGACTCGTCACGCTCACATAAACGGATTTTTCACTTTATGATGGGTTAGCGGTCCTGTTCTTGATGGTCTATTTTTCTTTTCGCCCTCTAGGCCATATAGTGTAAAAAAGGCAGGGAGCTCTTTGTTGGAAGAAGGTGTGACTCTGAAGAATCCAACTTGGATGCACTGAAGAGGATCTATTTACTGTTGTAAAATGGATCATGCTGCCTGACAGGCAAAACCGTGAAACTCGCGTGCAGCAGCAGCAGCAGCAGGGGGAGGAGCCCGCATTCACTCAGCAAAACATCTGACGTATTAGGAGCACAGCAACAAAAGAGACACCAAATAACCTCATCAGAAGAAAAGTGTGCAGATTGCAATTCCACGCCGAGCAGTTCATTGCAAAGGACCCCTAAATCAGAAATTGGGTCACTTTAGCTTTCATACCTAACACTGTCCAACCAAAGAGCTCCTCATAAGTCCAAACTGCCCCACTTAGCCCTTGGCGGGGTGTCACGATGACCATCAGATGGCAGCATGCACAGTCTATCTATGGTCGCCACACGGCAGCTTTGTGAACCTGATCACGGGCACAGAACATGGTGTTCTGTCCGCCCCGCAGCTGCCAGAACCCAATCGTGAGGGTCTCATTAGTCATTTGTTGCCTCATTCTTGCTTGTCTGATGTGAGATACATATGAGCACACGTGCTTCAAGCACATTAGCGAGCACGTCGGGGTCATTTATATTTGACACTTTTAACTTGAACATACACACCTCATGTTCCGGGTCAATTTTTGCCAAGAATATCCTCTTAATCATTGTCAATATCAAATGAGGAAATAAAGATTTAGTACATTTATTTAACCTTTATTAATCTAGTTAAGGCAACTGAGAACACATTCTTATTTGAAATGCCCACCTGGCAACAGACTGCAGAGTAAAACTTAGCAAAAACATCAACAGTAAAAAGTATGCAGTCTGAGGTTACACAATACATGACATTGCATTGACATTACAGGTGAAGGTTCTTTTCATTCTTTGATATTGGGACAAATGAGGTGAATTTTATGATTTGTTGCAGAAGGGTGCAGTTGTTTGGAGCAGAAAATCGGTGGTACCCTAGGGTGTACCCCACCTACTGCCAGAAGACAGCTGGGATGGGCTCCGGCACACCCGCGACCCTTGTGAAGGTTTTAACTTCAAAACTTAAAAAAAAAGACGACTCAACTGATTGAGTCTTGGGGACAAAGGGAGACTTTTTTTTTCACTCAAAACATCACTTTGAATTCTGCTAGTCTGCTTTTCGTGGCAGTCAAAGTAGAGAATGGCTAATAATAGACAGTTGGCATCTGCGGAAATACAGAACGTATTGGAGGAATGTGACAGAGCAGAGGAAAAAACAAGAATGCTGAAAGCAGGTCATCATGTTGTTGTTGTTGTGTGAGGATCTCATTGCAATGATCTACATTTGGGAGTTGAATCCCATATTTGTTCCCAATAAAGCGTCTGCTGCATCAGAGCAGAAAGGGCGGGACCAAGGAGGGGAAGTGCCTGTACAGTAACTGTTTGCAAAAAAACTTGTTCATTCTAGTGATGGGATTTTCGGCTCTTTTCGGTGATCCGGTTCATTTGGATCGGCTCAGTGAAAAGAGCCGGCTCTTTTTGGCTCTCAAACGGCTCGTTTAACTTTAGCTTTTCTTTTAAATATTTATGACAAATTTAGCATACATTTTGATAAATGACTTGGTGAACTAAACATTGCACTCTACTGACTGCAAATAGCAACAATTATCAAGCAAAGGAATGGCTTTTTACTTATTTTATTGAACATTAAAAAGGCTCCAAACAATAAACAAGCAAAAAAAATTAAAATTCAACCAACAACAATCAATTATGGTGCATCATAACAAAAATAGTGAGTATTAACTGCAACAGCAGCAGTGAACAAAACAAACATAAGTTACTCCTTGCTTTATTTTAACAAACATAAGCTACTCCTTGCTTTATTTTAAATTTGCAGTCAACAAAACTAAATACTTCAACTTGGAAAGGGTTTCGTGTTGTTGCACGCTTGGCTAATACTGTAAATTAAATTCAGATTGCTTGCCAAACGCCTTTGTGGTTTCCCGGACAGTAAGGGGCGATATGAACTAAAGACATCCAATTCACCGAGAAGAAGAATAAGTACAAGCACAACAACAGTACCACATCCGGTTAAATGAGCACGTTTTTCCGCTGTCCACAAGCCCTGTTCTCAGTGAGTAATTTAAAAACAACGGTACCACATCTGGTTAAATGAGCAAGTTTTTCCGCTGTCCACAAGCCCTGTTCTCAGTGAGTAATTTAAAAAGTTTAAACTGACTTCGCAGTTTATCTCTGAGTGTATCTCTGTGTTATTACGACACGTTACTCCTTTAATTTTGTTGTTGTGACTCAACGTAAAAAACAACGTCAGCAAAGGGGGCAGCGAGCGAGCACGCCGCCGACAAGTAGACCTCAGCTGTCAATCAAAAGGTTTCGAAAGAAGGTTGCTCATTGTACTTTAGGTGTGGGGAGAGAGCCGCGAGTGGATCACTCAAACAGATGCATTGTGAGTGTTTGGAAATGGACGGGTTGATAGTAAAAGTCTGCCACTTTACGAATAACGACTCAAATTAAAAAGAAAAAAAGAAACAGCTTTTTTTATGGACTACAGTGTGTGACTTTCCACTTTAGTTTTGTTTTTCTGCCTGACCAGATTCGTCAGATTACTGGGCCAAAGGCGCAGCTGCCAGACTCGGAGGACATGCGGAAGGGACGCCAACCTGCATTTGGACACGTGTGAGTACTGAGCATTGTGGTGTGCTTGAAGAGCTGATGTCTGATGTCACGTTGCACCACAAGGTGGAGGTGAGTGCGCCCGCCTGTCTGTCTCTCACTCAACTTAAACTTGTGCTTCGTATACTGCACAACAGTGTCAACTCCACATAGACAACCCGAGCATCATCAAGCACTTCTGGAATATGTTTTTAAACCTTGAAGTGGGCCAAGTTAGTTTAAAAATGTGTCGATGTATGCATATACTGTATGTATACTGTATATAATATATACATACATATGACTAATTTGGCCCACTTCAATGTCATTTAAAAACTTGACCAGAAGAGTGTGATCACTGATCATATTGTTGTGGAGTACACGGCAGTTGTCTCAGTGAGAGAAGTCGGACGTGCTCATGTCCCCCTTGGTGTGTCATGAGATGTCAGTGACATCACGCATGAGCTGGTCAAGCACATGCTCCCATTTCAGGCCTGTTGTCAGTGTTTGTGTGCGTGCAACTTGAACCGGCCCACACAAAGATTGACTGGTCAAATGCTTTCACATTGTCATGTTCGCTTTTCTGTCCAATAAATTGTTCAACTTGAATTCGAGTCTTTGCCTATCATGACCAAATCCATCCTCAACTCACTCGAAGCCTTTTCAAAGACTGACGTCTTGAGCTGAGACTTGCGCTTCAGTCACATCAGACATTCTTTTCACTGTGCCCTTGATCTCCACATGACTCGAAACTCCAGGAATCGAGCTTTTGGATCATGTGACACCGAAGGGAACAGTGAAAAGACTGATGTGTCTGATGTGACCCAAGTGCAACTTTGAAAAAGTGCTGCAATCCGCCCCAAACCACACCCAATTTGACATCCACCAATTGCAGTGAGGCCCGAATTTGCATAACCTAAAACCCTAATTTGCATAACCGTGCCCACTTTAAAAGTTCTGACCAATCAGATTGTTATACATTTGCATAGCCATGCCCCAAAGAGCCCGCCAATCGGAGAAAGCTGCCTGGAAAAAAAATCCAGGAAAAAAAATTTTTGGAAAAAAAAAATTGAAAAAAATTCAGAAAAAAGTTTAGCAAAAAACTACATAACCACACCCATTTCCACCAATCACAGCATGTTATCATCTTGCTCCACCCACTTTCGCAGCTATCAGCGAATCATCAGCCATCATTCCAGCCAGGCCACACCCACTTTACTGGATTTAGCTGCCTGGAAAAAAAAATCCAGGAAAAAAAATTTTTGGAAAAACATTTGAAAAAAATTCAGAAAAAAGTTTAGCAAAAAACTGAAGTTGAGTTGAAGTGTTCTTTGTAATCAAGCTTTATTTCTTTTGCAGAGTAGACAATCACAAAAGCAGAGGAAAAAGTTGCAAGTTGGATGGCAGTCTGCTTGTTGCTGGGCGGCGAAGTGGTCAGCTCTCGAGAAGAACGTGGGACAGGTGTGTTGACCTGAGAGGAAAAGCATCCGTGAGTTACACGTAAGTCAATTTCTTGTGCAGACAAAGATGTGTTGGGCATGAAACTTACCAGGGAGATAGACTGTTGGGTCTTTCGAGAGCAGGAATCCGATCATGTTTACTGCTGCCTGGGGGAGAAAAAAAAAGTCAAAAAAGTAGTCATGATGGTGCATTGAACGAGTGTAAATGTCTCCTACTTTTCAGGCTGGCCCAAAGTTTGACTTGAGCACCTTGCGAATAACAGGAAGAAGAGCAAAAAGTGTTGCCTGCTGGTCTGTGCTCGTAGGTGGACTCTGGCGGTGAGCAGGTGACTCCCTCTTGTGGCACGGAGGACCCAAGAACAATCTTCCTTCGTCTGAAAAAAATGAAATGAGGCTTGTTGTGTTGGGTCTGTCTCAGTGACGGACTGAGGCTGCTGTTGTCTTTTTCTCTGATCAAAACAATGTTGTCTGTTCCAGTGTCCCCCTAGCGGATATTCCACGAATTGCACCCTATTAAAAATATTCATTCCGTGTCTTTTGTGCATTTTTTCACTTTTAAATTATCCTGCGGGCCTGATCAAACCTCCTTGCGGGCCGGTTCCGGCCGTATGTTGTACACCCCTGATGAATAGTAAGGCGTTTTCACCCGAAAAAAACGACCATGTATAGTAAGGCGTTTTTAGCCGAAAAAAACGACCATGTATAGTAAGGCGTTTTTAGCCGAAAAAAACGACCATGTATAGTAAGGCGTTTTTAGCCGAAAAAAACGACCATGTATAGTAAGGCGTTTTTAGCCGAAAAAAACGACCATGTATAGTAAGGCGTTTTTAGCCGAAAAAAACGACCATGTATAGTAAGGCGTTTTTAGCCGAAAAAAACGACCATGTATAGTAAGGCGTTTTTAGCCGAAAAAAACGACCATGTATAGTAAGGCGTTTTTAGCCGAAAAAAACGACCATGTATAGTAAGGCGTTTTTAGCCGAAAAAAACGACCATGTATAGTAAGGCGTTTTTAGCCGAAAAAAACGACCATGTATAGTAAGGCGTTTTTAGCCGAAAAAAACGACCATGTATAGTAAGGCGTTTTTAGCCGAAAAAAACGACCATGTATAGTAAGGCGTTTTTAGCCGAAAAAAACGACCATGTATAGTAAGGCGTTTTTAGCCGAAAAAAACGACCATGTATAGTAAGGCGTTTTTAGCCGAAAAAAACGACCATGTATAGTAAGGCGTTTTTAGCCGAAAAAAACGACCATGTATAGTAAGGCGTTTTTAGCCGAAAAAAACGACCATGTATAGTAAGGCGTTTTTAGCCGAAAAAAACGACCATGTATAGTAAGGCGTTTTTAGCCGAAAAAAACGACCATGTATAGTAAGGCGTTTTTAGCCGAAAAAAACGACCATGTATAGTAAGGCGTTTTTAGCCGAAAAAAACGACCATGTATAGTAAGGCGTTTTTAGCCGAAAAAAACGACCATGTATAGTAAGGCGTTTTTAGCCGAAAAAAAGCGACCATGTATAGTAAGCCATTTTTAGCTGAAAAAAACGACCTACTAAGGCGTTTTAACCCAAAAAAATCGACCATGTGTAGCAAGGCATTTTTAGACGAAAAAAATGACCATGTGTAGAAAGGTGTTTGTTTGTTTGTTTGTTTGTTTGTTTGTTTGTTTATTGAACATATATAAAACATACAATAACATGACAAAATGTAAACAGACGAAAAAAAACGACCATGTATAGTAAGGCGTTTTTGGCCGAAAAAAACGACCATGTATAGTAAGGCGTTTTTAGCCGAAAAAAACGACCATGTATAGTAAGGCGTTTTTAGCCGAAAAAAACGACCATGTATAGTAAGGCGTTTTTGGCCGAAAAAAACGACCATGTATAGTAAGGCGTTTTTAGACGAAAAAAAACCCGACCATGTATCGTAAGGCGTTTTTAGCCAGAAAAAACGACCATGTACACATAAGGCGTTTTTCGACGAAAAAAACGACGATGTATAGTTAGGCGTTTCATGTATTGTTTCAAGATGCTTTATTGATTCGGGCAACTCCGCTGGAATAGTTGAGACGCAAGTCTCATCTGTATGCTTGCGGCGTGCTCTCTGCTGGTCCCAACGGGCCGGGGGCTGAAGAACCTGCAAAACCTAAAGGATAGCGGTGAAATCAAACTTTGTTTCAGATTGGGGAGGAAACATCGTATGACTTTCTGAGGGCCCCAATAACTTTTCCCCCTCAAAGTATTCACTGTATATCGATCAACATGTCAGAAACTTTCGGTCTTAAACTCCAGCAGAGGGCCCGCCATTGGCAAGGGGAAACAATAAACCCGATTTCACTTTCCAATGTCAGCTAACAGCAGAAAGAATCATTGTAAAATTCGACCGCAAACTCGCAAAGAGGCTCGCGCCCGTCGTCGACGGTGTTGACAAGGTCTTTACGAAACGTAAGGGCGCCCTCTACCAGTGACCAATAGGAATGACAAACCTTCGACTGAAGTGGCTCTCAACTTGACAAGTACAGTCCCACCGAAAAAATACAACTCCCTGGGTACCTTTATCAGGTGCTGTCTCACCATGTTGGTCTTTGTTGTTGTGTTTATGATTCTCTGGACAAGTTGGAACTGGGAAAGTGAAATCTTTTGCATACCTGTCAACCTCGGCTAATCGCTGCCCTTATAAATGATTACGATTCCCCTTACAAAGCAACAAAAACCCTTACAACGGCTTACCGCGCATGCGCACATCATGCTTTATCAATCCTACCTACACAGCGATGAAAAAAAAATATACGATTGAGAATGACTTTTGCTGGTTTGCCGTGACAATAGTAGCGATCGACTATGGCATTGTCGTTGACTACCAGCAGGTGAGACGATCTGGATTTGAGCTAAAATGGTCTTTGTGAGATCGGTTCACAATTGGGTTTTTTTCGGTATAAAAGTTGTAATACGCCGTACATGATTTGAAATGATAAAAAACCGTATAAAATACGGGCAAAAACGGACAAGTTGACAGGTATGTGTCTGTCTGTGGCTGCGCAGACGCGACGGAGCATGTGCTCTGCGTGCACTCTGTGCAGTACCTACCAAGCCCCTTGCCTCTCCCCTTTCTCTTCTGCCAAACCTCGCTTCAGACACGTGAAAACGAGAGAGCGACAGAGAGAGAGAGAGAGAGAGAGAGAGAGAGAGAGAGAGAGAGAGAGAGAGAGAGAGAGAGAGAGAGAGAGAGAGAAAGAGAAGCAAAATGACAGAGCTGGCTCTCGAGGGAGGGTGCCGGCTCTCATCGTTCACTTCAAAGAGCGGGCTTTTTGTACCGGCTCGTTCGCGACCGACACATCACTAGTTCTTTCGTTGTTTTCCTTTCTCTGCAATTGGACGTCGTCTATTCACCACGTGTCCCATGTGACCCACAAAGTCATAATGAGTTTCGGCTTCACGTGATTATATTTCAACAGGTTGTTTTGTCTTAAGCAAAACAAAGAACACACTTGTAAAATACTGCCCGTGGGCGGAAAAAAAGTAGATGAAGAAAATAACAAGTAAGATAACATTCAACATTTTTATACAGTTTAAGAAAAGGCTTGTATCTTCCGACTTACCTCATGGTCTGACAGACGAAATATTTTGAGATACTGCACTCGACAAAGTCAGAAAAACTCTTTTGAAATGTTTTGCTTTTTTCTTTCTTGTCCTTTCATCAATTTTGGAGGACATCCACTTGTGCGCAATGTCTCTTGTTTTCATATGTTGTCGCAATTGTGATTGTAATGATGGCGTCTTTCACGATGCCGCGTCCAATGCAATTGCTTAACGTTCAAATTGATTTCAGACCCGATCAACTGAGACCTTTAATTCTGAAGTGGGCCGATTTCTTTTTATTTTAATATAAAAATAACAACAAGCAGATAAGATGAACTTTATTTGAGGCTCGGATCCAGTTTAATTAATAGTCCGAGACTTGAACTAAATACTATTTACAAATAACAATAATAATACCTGCATGCCACTCAAGGTCAGCTAACATGACTGCGCGCGACGAGTTAACTCTGAACACGTCCTTATGTGTTCAACAACCTCATTTGGATTTTATTTGTAAAACAGTCAGGTTTGTGTTTTAACGATATACTATAGATATTTACCTTTTTAACTTCCCTAAAGCTTTGGAGTTATTTTGATGTTCTACCAATAATGCCTGACAACAAAACTACTTTATGTACTAACTGCAAATTGACTTTTACTCTTTCATTTCGGCATAGGTTTGGCCTGTTTTGGAAGTCTGCAATTCCTCTCACGATATTAGAGCTCCCTCTAGTGGACAAACAATCAATGTCTATTGCATGACATATTTCAACAGCACAAACCACACTTGAAACTCGTCACGCTAAAAAAGAACGCCTACTTCCATGCATAAACCATGTCCCACGATTTAATAACAAGGCTGTTTTTGTTAAAAGGGTATAAATTGCTCTACACAGTTACGTGTGTGGTCTTCAGAAAAAGAAATGTGTATATGAAAAATGTGAAACAGCGTGACCTTGGGGAACGTCTCAGATTTATGCTAACGCAAAAAAAAAAAAAAAAAAAAAAAGCATTCATCAATCAATTTTCTGTATCACTTGTCTTCTTTAGTGTTGCGGGTGAGCTGGAGCCGATTTTAAGATGAGTCATCATCGATGGGCAGTTTCAAGCTTTCAGTCAATCAAACGTTCATGTTTTTGGAATGTGGAAGGAAGGCTGGAGGAAGCGCAAACACTCACACAAGCACAGGAAGAACATGCAAACTGCATTTCAGAAGACCAGTGACGAGGTGCCCACCAAAGTGTCGTGGTAACCACACCACCACCACCGTGCTGGGAGTTAGGTCACGAGAGCAATTTGAAGATACTTGACGTCAAACATTTGAAGTAACCTGAGTTAAATATGACATTTGTGGACTGTTCATCTTTTTATTGTTGAGCTGCAAATACTCACCCAGTGGTGGAACATGCATTTGTTACCTGGTCCTTCATTAGGGACTGATTTGACCCAACTCTCACACCCCCGCGCGCCAAGGTTGAATTCTCACGTGAACCAACAGTAGTTGGCTGTGGATCCAGTCGTGTATTTTCGCGTGTCACATGGTATCAGCACAATGTGAAACCAAAAGTATTGTTCCAACACTTACTATTGCACATATATTTTACCTTGTCCCGTAACATTACTGACATCCCCGTGACAACAAGCTCCAGAGATGCTGTCTGCAAATACACAAATGTCATCATCAGGTGGACAGACCTTTGATGACAATCGATTTGCTAAAGCCTCTTCAGTCTTCAAGGTGAACGAGTTGGTAATCCACAGCTAAGACACTGACATAGACATCCATCCATCCATCCATCCACCCATCTTCCAATCCGCATTATCCTCACAAGGGTCGCGGGGGGGGGAGGGTGCTGGAGCCTCGGGACAATTTAGAGGGTGTTCGGGCAGTAGGCGGGGGACACCCTGAACTGGTTGCCAGCCAATCGCAGGGCACACAGAGACACACAACCATCCACACTCACACCTAGTGACAATTTTGAATGTTCAATTAGTCTGCCATGCATGTTTTTGGAATGTGGGAGGAAACCAGAGTACCCGGAGAAAACCCATGCAGAAAACCCACGCAGGCCTGGGGAGAACATGCAAATTCCACCCTGGTCCACTGGACCAACGGGCCGCCCTGACATATACATGAAATGAAAATACAGGAAAAGCTCAAAGGGCACAAATGGCTCGAAGCACTGACATTTATTAATGCAGATCAGACATTGACTTAACAGCAAACATTAATAGTCTCTCAAAGTGAACAGTCGAGGGTGAATCATAAACTGGCAGCCGTCCTGACTGTAACCTCAGCTAAAATAATTGTTCTGTGCTTCATAAAACTCTGAAACCAACCGACATTTTCTCATAATGTTAGTGTGTGTAAATGTTGACATGACACCACCGCTTGTTGTTGGGATGGTCACAACTCTGCAACCGTTTCAAAAGCACAAGGAATGTGAATGGAAATGTCAGCGTCTCCCTTTGGTGCATTTGGTCCAGTTAGGCGAATTGATGGCCACCAGCGAAGTGATTGGCACTGAGGGTAAGTCCAACAGGACCCAACGGGACCAGGGAGGCTGCTATGGCACGACCAACCGCTTCAGCCAGCGACTAAAGGCAGCCAGTTGAAAAGATTCCGACATGCGGGCACATACGGACATTCCAAAGGCAGACAGCAATGCCAGTATGGATAAAATGAACCTGTTGGCATCAAAAATGGAGTACTCGGCCGGTGAACCGCTAAAGCTACAGCTTTTCTTTTAAATTTCAATTGTTGATTGATGCGCTAAGGATCTTTTCCAATTCTCTTTCTCCATCCATTTTTATAGTACGTGCCCTCATTAGAGTCGCAGCCTATCCCGACTGACTTTGTGTAGTCTGGGTTGGTCAGCCAATCACATGGCACATTCAAAGAAAAACTAAACAACTCTTCACACTCACATTCCCACCTATGGACAATCAGTTATTTCGTGAACCTATCATGCTTGTTTTTGGAATGTGGGTGGAAGTCGGAACAGCCGAGAAAACCCACAAAAGCCCACATGGGAAGGCAGAAAGTCCAGATTTGAACCCCAAACCACAGAGGCAGACATGCTGACCACCACGTCCCTGTGCTATCTTTTGTCCAGTCACTCTGTTTACATAAAAATTACTAACAGAAAAACAAAAAAAACTTTACTATAAAACTTTCCTGCACATAAAATCAGATTTTTTTTTTTTTTTTTTTGTAGTTGGCTTTATAAATGTGCGCACTGAGCAAAGCAGCTCCCATTTATGCACTGCGGGTGCTCCGTCTCCACAACAGTAGGAGGTATTTTCCTTATTCATAATCTGAAAAGCAAACGAGGTGTTGGTGCAGTTGTGCAAATGTATTTTTTGAATTTTGGCAATTAAGATGGACCATTGGCGACCTGTTCAAAACTCAATAACCGGTGAAACTTCAGCCAACGTGAAGCAGAGCTAGGCAGCAATCTGTGACCGTTAGATCTTTAAAAAACAGAATTTCAGGATCAAAGGGTGGGGAAGATATGTTGAATGGGGAAGAACATGCCCCCTTAGTTTGTGTTTAGAGCAAAGGACCTGCTTCACAAAGCGATGGCTTCTTTTGAGGACTTTGTTTTCATTCGGAACGCAAATGAAATGCTTGCAGGCATCAACTGGATGTGTGGATAGTGAATGAAATGTCGATTGGGATGAGACAGGCGGAGTTCAATAAAACCCCCGAGTGGGGGCAGGCAGACGTGAAACAGGCTGAAGAGAGTCTGCAGATGTCGTTTTGGCGCGTCTGCGTTTGGACTTGACCAGAACGATCGATCACATACTGTGCTCACAGAGATTACAACAACATTTCAAACTTTAGAAAAAAAAAACAAAAATCTTTCTCAACCCCTTTAAGAAATGAACAAGGTTATTTAAAAAAAAATACATTTGTTAGGACATTACGTTAGAATTCTAGAAAGAAGAAACACAAATGTTGTGTTGTTCCGGGTTGCAGCTCTTTGCAGTTATTTCCTTAACGGAGGAGCTTTAGCTGTCTTTCAGATCACAACATACAGCAGGCTGTTCTTGTGTCACCATAGACGACAATATTCTTAATTTTGCGCCTAGCATAGGGCTCCCGAAAACACAGTAGAATTCAAATGAAATCACCCGAATTGTGTAAAAGCAGGATCACCTCACTAACAAGCCATCCAGCATTTGAGCGAGGTTCGAGGGCTATAACGGAGCGAACGGAACGGAAAGTCCATCACCTGCAAAGGAGGCCAAGACGGGATGGATTTGACTCAGTCTTCCGCTTTGTATCACCTTCCCCTCTTGTATCTTGGCACAGTCCAGACAGTTTGGAAAAGGAACACCGCATTTCTCTGCTGTGTGATCCTTTACTGAGGCGATGAGGGGAGCGACTCTAGGCGGGGCCTTCCTTTGGAGAACACGGGCTCTGGGACGAGGAGGTGGACGAAGATGAGGCCGAGCTCTTGAGGGAGCTCAAAGTTTTGCTGAACCAAGAATTCTTGGCTGCCTGGATCTCATTCATCAGGACTCCTCGCTGGTGTTCCAGTTCCTGCGTGACCACAAGAGCGCGTACTTTTCACTACGTTGACAGGCGGTCAATATTCGGGTGAAGGTCAAAATTACGTTTTCTGAAACATTTGGAATAACCCGCACAGTTCTTCACGCATTGGAATAACCCAATTCAAGTGGCGAAGCACAGACATCGTGATGCAAAGAGACACCAGTCTTGCTTTTGACATTCTATCTTCAAGAAAACACATATTCATATCACTCAGCACAGGAATAAAGCAGTCGGCTTCCTGCTCACTCCAAAAGTGCGCTGCTGTGCTGCGCCAAGTTTAGTTTGTGCCCAGTTGGTTTAGTTCCGCCAAGGCTGTTTACCTCCGCTTGTATATTTCCCACGAGCTGCGCACCAGACACACGGATTCCTATACACAAATATGTCAGTGTTTGTATGCACTGTGACATTTTCACTGTATAGACAGAAAGGAACGTGATACCGCAGCAGAGAAATCAAGATATTCAAATCAGGCTCGCTACGATTAGTAAGCGGCATGCCGTGCCTACAAGTTGTTCCTGTATGATAAAGACCAAGATTCAATGTGGATTTAAGCAAGAGCACGCACAGAGCACGCACACCAATGCCCCGTTCAAAGTAACCTGAGTGGGTTTATATGACCAAGTATTCGGGTTCGAAAAAAAGGTAACCCAGGGGTCTTTGGGTTTTGAACAACACACACAGGAGCATAATTGGGTTTTTGCACGTGCGTACATGGTCTTTGAAAACCCGAATACTGCCAATATTCAGGTTTTGAAAGACATATTGACGACAGGTAAACGCAGTCATTGGCTCTCAATTATTTAAATAGTTGATCAGGGGGGCACACTGGGCGAGTTCAGCGTAGCGCGAGGTCCGTGTGGCAACGATTACAAGACACGCTGTTCGATGTTAGTTTGGGGTGCTCCCACACTTTGGCTGTCCTCCCACGCCATCAAGTGAATAGCTTCGCTTCCGCCTTTCTACACGTACCTGACGTCAGCGCATTGTGTCACGTTTATGTTCGCTTGCAGTTTTGCTTGTCAACGTGAGGCGCAAATGGCAAATGTTGACTTGCAAATTGCGATGCCAACCCACTTATTTTGAGCCTGGAGCGCAGTACACTGAAAACCTGGTACTGTATTTACAGGTGGTGGAGATTAGGCACTGCTGGCAGTTGAGAAGAAAATCCAGCAATACATGACGACTGCACAAAATGGTTTGTAATTACCTATAGATGCCACATGATGGCAGCAAGTACTTTTTTCTCTCCCAGTAGCAGTGCAGTACTGTGTTTCAGGGCTCCCCTACAGCTGCCATTGACGCTATGATGAACATCATCTCTAGGCTCTGTTTTTCAATTTCACTTAGATAGTTTACAGTCATGTCAGTCGGTAATGGAAGCCAAGTGAGGCCGGCAGAGCGGCAGAATAAGGTTTTAAAAACTCCAAGAAAGCGTCTTTATTTAATCTAACGAAGAACTTGACACTTTTTACTGCAGTAGGAGCAGAGGATGGCCAGCTTTTGCTTGTAATCCGCCGGATGTTGCTACGCCACAGCCGCCCTTGCCCAGGTGGATAAATGGCACCGTTTCATAAAAGAAAAGCACTGAGCACCACGGATTAGTTGATCTTGAATTCTCTTGCAGCCACTCGATTCCCATGGTCCTCCGTGTAACTGATAGCTTGCAGTTTAAACTGTGCTTCGTAAGCGTGTCTCTCTTTTCGGGATGTTGTTTTGCACAATGCACGTATTGGCACCTACTGGGGGGCGTACTTTTAGCGTCCTCTTTCACGTCCACCCTTCCCACCTTAACGGCCGCATGCTGTCCTCAGTTACATCCGCCTTTTTGCTATACAAGCAACATGTCGGCACAACATCAGTCAGTCAAGCGGACCCTTCATCCAAGTCACAGCATTCACCGATTTTTGAACTCGGTGCATACACAAGGTGACTCGCATTATTAGGCACCCCGTCCATTTTGGAGAAAATTTAAGACTTTTGTGTGCCTGAAAATACGGTAACTGGATCATAATTGTTTATTCCATCATCTCGGAATATTGTACTGTATATGTGAATGCTGGGACACATAAGATAGATTATGTTCAGACTTTTGTGTGCCTGAAAATACGGTAACTGGATAATAATTGTTTATTCCATCATCTTGGAATATTGTACTGTATGTGAATGCTGGGACACATAAGATAGATTATGTTTATCGCTGCCCCGACGTGTCGGTGCTGTTCACCTGAATGCGACACTTGGCCTCCACCAGCTGCAGTTTGGTCTGTGCCAGTTCCAGTTCCATCTGCCTGAGCTGCTCCTTCAGTCCGTCCTTCTCCTCGTCCAACGGTTCGGAGCTTGCGTTGTCACCGCCCGGAGACGACACTTGCAGGCACCCCAGGGTGCTGAAAAGATCTCGACAGTGCTCGCAACCGCTGACTTTACTCTGTACAGAAATGCACACACACACAGGTGAGAGGGGAACTACCGTATTGGTCCGAATATAAGACGGCCCTGATTATAAGACGACCCCGTCTTTTTCAAGACTCAAGTTTGAAAAAAGACTTTTTGAACACCAAATTAATTCTTCTGGTTTTTGAAATGTAAATTACATCATAACTTCTCCTCAGCTGCCTGTTAACCTGGCCGATCTTCGACCCACTTTTCTCCAGATTGTCACTACGTTTCTCCATTTTCTGTTATCTCTTCTATTGTTTTCTTCTCTTTTCCTTCTTACCACTATTTTTTATTTTTCTTCTTCGTGCTACAGCTATTTTTATTTTTATTCTTCGTGGCAGGGGTTCACTTTGGCCTGGGGAGTCAAGTTCAGCATTCGCTTCATTGATATCTGGCGCCATCTAGCGTCGCGAATGGGTATAACGTCTAGACCCCGAATATAAGACGACCCCCACTTTTTCAGTCTTATTTCAATGCAAAAAACACCGTCTTATATTCGGGCCAATACGGTAAATAATGCCGGATGATAGGTTCTTGCAGCCAAGTATCTGAAATGTGAAATCCCTCAAGACATGATAATTTTTCACATTGACTTGATTTGCCCTGCCGACAGTTTTCCCCTATTTAATCAGGACTTTTATAAAATGAGTAGATGGTTTGGTAAGGATGCTTATGTTACATTCTGACACCATAAACAATGACGAAAAGGAAACTTTAGGAAAAATACATCTCTACGGGCGTATTTAAATTGCGGCTCTGTCCGGAAAAAAAACAACTAACGTGCATTTGGTGCCTTGTGAATGAAAAGAATCTCACCCTGACAATGTCCAGCTCCTCTTTTGTGGCTGCCTGCTGCTTTTCCAGCCTGGTGCTAAGCTGGGAACAGATCTGACACACAGACCAACATGTTTACATAACAGTTGAGACTTGAACTTTAGGATGCATTGAAACACCGTACTGTGACGACGCTACGACTGTCTGAGTCAAACGTGTCCAAAAAGTGACTTAAGCGATCTAGGTTTTAGCTGGAGAACAAAACAATTTCGGACCTGTTTATACTCCGCTATGATGGCTGTGGTTTTCTTGATCTCCACCTCGGCTTTTTCCAGCTCCCTCCGGAAAACTTCCTTCAGCTGATGGTGTCAACAATAGACAAGGAGGTAAAAATCATATACAGAAATATAACAGCAGAAAAGAATGCTCTGTTGAAATGACAGATGGGAGATTAAAATACTGTACTGTGAATGACAATCAATCTATACGTCTCAATAATGGTACCACCTAGAGTCGAATTTCATCACTGTCTCTGTAGACATGAACGGTGGAACATTTATGAGCCAATGTATCAAGCACACCAGCATAATCTAATGGCCTCTAATAAACTGCATCAAAAGTTCTTCACACCGATGATACTGTTCAGTTTTTAGCTTTGACCTTTGCTCACCCAATTAATCTCAATAACCTAAACAAAGAAACACCTCACTGCGTGATGCAGTGAATTACCTTCAAAATGACCTTTACCGTCATTCTTATTTGTGGTTTAGAAATACTGCATCAAAGAAAGTCAGCGGAAGTGAATTTTGAGTTGACTAATCCTTTTCATAATAATCCAAACACAAGAACATTCAAGTAACTTTCAGTAGAAAGATTGTACACCACAGAAAGCCAGATACAAGCTTCACAAAAATGTCCTAAAAAGTGTATGTATAGAGATGATGATGATGAGGACAAGCAGTGGTATTGGAAGAGCATTCTATTGTCATGCCTGTCACTATATGTTGTTGGCACAGAGAAACAACTATACATCTACATTATTTGTAGAAAATAAATAATTTTGGACCAATTAAATAAAACTGGATACTGTAATTTCACATGATGATCTCTCACAAACTCACCAGAGACTTTCCTTCTTTTCGACGCAAAGTATAGCAATGCAAAAAAATAAGAGACCACCCTTGTTTCTTCGGTTTCCTCTTCATTTTCAATGCCTAGCCCAACTAAAGGTACATTTGTTTGGACAACATAAATAATTTCTAAGAGTTGAATTCCAGAGCTCATTTTCAGAAGGTTTTCTGGATAATAAACCAAAGTTCTTATGTGAATCGAGATGGCATTCCAAAAACGGCACTTTTAGGCATTCCATGTTTACCCTTGGGTCCATTAGTCATGAGATACACTATAAGTGGCGCCAGACATTAAAATGAAATCGAAGAAAACATGGCGGTCTCACCCTATTTTCCATGGCTGTAAAAATCATAACAGATGGGCCACACAGACAGAATGTCAGAGGAAAGAGAAAACCGCGACCAAATTATGAGCGTTGGCACTATCCATGACACTTTGTGTTCAAAGCAATTGTCACTGTCTCAGAGGCTGACACTAACCTGCTACTCATACAGTATCCGATAATTATCTAAATGTGCAAAATCTCAACAGATGTGTGAACATGCACGGCGGACATGGCAACGCCCATCTTTGGGGAGTTCTGTCTGAAAGCGGATGAATGCTGGCGATACTGCACTTCCTCTGATGTGCTAGTTCTGTGGAAAGGCATAGTGAGGGGGGGCCGTTACCTGAGCAGTCTCCTCCTCCTGTCGTCTCTTCTCCTCCTCCGTCTCCACCAGACGCTGCTTTGTGCTGAGCAACTCTTTGTTCAGAACATCGGCCTTGTCTTCTGCCTGAATGCACACAAACGTACAGCCAAGGTGTACTACGTGACAGATGTGCATCTTATTCTGCCACATTACACAGCCACCTTGTCGTAGCCAAAATTGAGGGATATTAAATAGTACTCAGATGTTGTGAGTCGGTTATGGATGGGAAAAGAAAACCTGTTCTCCTTGCGAACTGGTTCCCAGAGATCTAATTCCTTGGAGTTTGGCGCTTTTGCAAATGATTCCCTGATCGATTCTAGTTGGGATGAATGACGTCACCATGCATATTGTGCTAAGCAACATGCGGGGTGACGCTATTGACTAGCGTGGCTACCAAGAAACATGGCGCTTATGCTCGAAAGATGGGTTACATTTTGCAACAAAGGATAACAAGAGGGAACCTTGAAATATTTGCAAAGTCGATATTTCGTCTGAGGCAGGAAACACGACCGAGACACAAAGGCATTTGCACACACAGCATGAGATAACTTGATGAAGGTCACACTTTTAATCTGCTGCAGAGCGCTCAACTCATCAGCAGTGACAACCTAATTATGCCTCTCATGAAAATACTCCAGCTGACTGTGTTACTGTCATTTCAACCTTATTGTAGGACCTGCTGCGTGGTGCGAAACAAGAGTCTGACCGGCTCAGAGGTTGGAAGTACTCGCTCCACTTTGGTGCCAGCTTCTCTGTTCACGAGTGACGAAAGAATGCAACGGCGGATCAACGGGTGGATCAGTACAGTGTCTGCAATGATGCATATCCATTGTTGTGAAGATGGAGCTTAGTAGATTTACATTATTTACATTTACACGCCTCCTTTGTGAGGTGTTCCGGGCGCATCCCACAGGGAGGAGGCACCAGAGACGACCCAGGACATGCTGGAGGGACAATTTCTCCCAGCTCGCCTGGGAACATCTCGGGACCCTCCCCAAAAGAGTTGGAGGAAGTGGCTGGGGAGAGGAAGGTCTGGACTTCTCTGCTAAAGCTGCTGCCCCCGTTACTCAACCCAGGATAAGCGCAAGTAAATGGATGGTTATATGATCGACTTGGAACGGTTCTTGTGAAAGATGACATCTTAGAATTCTAATTACCTGGTCAAGGTCATTCCTGAGGGCAATCTTACTGGTGACCAGTTCATGGGCCAAGTCGTCATTCTCCTGTTCGAGCCGCATACTGGCCTCTTGGAGACGGCGGTTCTCCCTCTGTAAACACAAACACATACTCAATGACCTCTTGTAATATTGACAACAAACATGTCATATTCCTCAATTTCCTTCTTTTAAATGCCTTTCGCTCGTTGCCTTTTTTTGAACATCCCCCTATAAGTAAAATTCATCTGAAAAAAATAGCATGACTATTGTAGCCCATCACTGGAATCTCATGACTGCCTTGAAAAGTCTTTCACATGACACCGTTGATTTAATAATGACACAGCCACGTGATATGGAAAACTTTTATACAACAGCAATCTCTTTTGCCTGTAGTTTAGAACTTAAATCTGAAAATACAAAGTGCGCGTATGTATGAATACTGAGCTTGGATGAGGTACATTCCTTGCATAGTTTTATCTAATGAGACCATCGCTTTGTAGAAGAAAGAGAGGTAGTTTGAATGTCACTCTTGTTATCCAATTTGGTACTTCCTGTCAGTAACAAGCTTAATTAGAATAATTACAGTGAGGTCCTGTTGGTAGATTCTACTGCTGAAAATGCCCATGCATGACCTTTTATCTCTTCAAATCCCTTGCGATGTTTACACTTCCTCTGACGTTGTGCATTTCCCTTGGGGAAATTGACACAATAGCCTCAAATCACATTAATCAAAGTCCCCACAAAATTAATGATCGTTTGTGTTATCTTCTCACAATAAATCCTTAGAGGGAGCAGAAAGATCTTACCACGATCTGCAATCCAGAGTCTTGCTATCAAGGCTGCAGCACCACAAACTAAACTTCAACACATGATCCACATGATGGGAGTTTCCCTTCTCTCGCCAGCAACTTCCAGCCTCTCCCTCTCTACTCTGACTTTTGTCACTCTTATGAAGCAACATAAGCAAAATAAAACGACACGACACAACAAGAAGACGGAAAATGACAGTTACTAAACCACAGAACAATGGTAGCAAGGTATGCCCCCTCAAAAACTGCGGTCGTCACCGAAAAGGAACTTACTTCTTGGCCCTATACAGCCTCTCGATTGATGGAAGAGGAAACGACTGTAGCTCAACTTCTTATCAAAAGTAAACGTTTCCTTCCTTCTTTTCAAAAGCAGCAACTTATAGTTTCGATTGCAACTCGGTTATGTGCACCGCTCATGTATTCAACAATTCTCTATGGATTCATAATACCGAGTACAGAAGAAAGCGAAGGTTTTTGGCGTCATTATATTATGACTTTTTATTGGATTTGATCTCAGTAAGCACATTCTACTTGAACAGAAACTAGCGGCATGGGAACATAACTTACTTTCACCAAATGTCGCAATGAATTGAATTGCCGCTTAAAATGACTGATTTGGAGGAAACCAAACAATAAAATTGTCCAGTCAAGCTGAACAAGTGAGACCAAGTGCCACAGCAGTTTCAGTGTCTGAATCTTCAAAAACCTTTTTAAGGGCAGCGAATCGCTGACAGTACCAAGAATAGATACGAGAGATGTTGAACAGTGATAGAAGTCACATTTCGAGCCTGAATAATGGAAAATAGAAAGCAGGACATGAGGAAGGCGCACTCACAAAATTCTAATCTCAGCAAGGATGCTAAATATAACTTTAACACTTGAAAAGTAACGGTAGAGAAGCTTGTGAGAACAATGTCCAAACAGTGTTTCAATACAAGAGACAGCAACGTATTCAACGTATCCGCTATACATCATCAATTTGATTTCTACAGCACATTTCACATGGCGAGCATAAAACTTGTGCTTTAGGATCAAAAGTTTCAGTGTGAAAAAAGCAAGATGACAATACATTTAAAAAGCCGATCAGCACCTTTAGCTGATTTTGAATGTATGTTGAAATATAAGATACACTGAGCTGAAAGGTGTGTGTGTGTGTGTGTGTGTGTGTGTTTGTACCTGGTATCGGTCAATGGGGTCCTCTTGTTGGAGCTGGCTCTCTCTCAGCGTCTGATACTCTTTCTCAAATTTCTTAAGCTTCTTGGTTGGAACCTAAAAATACAAAACGCACAATTAATGCACTGTGCACACACAAGAGTCAGCGCTTTGTGAGACAAAGCAGGGGTTATTTAATTTGGAAGCGAATGGTCAAACACTACAAGTTCATTCATATTGTTGACACCAATATAGTCAGTCAGTATTTGATCTTTGAAGAAAGGTAGGCAAACGCATCGTCATAATATTCACAATGATAGCTTCTGTTCCTTACATCGCAGGAACTAGATCCTAAACAGTTAAAGTTATTTGCAGAATGGATATAAAAAAAAAGCGTATAAGAAAAGGTGCAAACCTCTCAGCGTTGTGTAAAATGTGAATAAATAAAAGCAGAATACAAATATTTGCAAATCCCTTTTCAACCTCTACAATACAATACAACCGCAGACACTACAAAGACAATACATTGGATGTTCAAACTGATCAATGTTATTATTATTATTATTATTATTATTATTATCATTTTTGCAAATGTTTACTCATTTTGAATTTGTTGCCTGGAACACGTTCAAAAACCTGGGAAGAGGGCTAGGTTTAGCACTGCGTTGAGTGACCTTGCCTTTTAACAGCAGTCAATAAGCGTTAAATGGCGAGGTCAAGCAACCCGAGGACGCGAAATGTTGAAGCTTTGTCGGTGGAATTCTTTCCCCTTCTCGCTTGGTGTACAATGTCAGTTGCTCTCCAGTTCGGGGTCACCTTTGTCAGATTTTGTGCTTCATAATGCGGCACACATTTTCAATGGCAGACAGGTCTGAATTGCTGGCAGGCCATTCTAAGGCCATTCTCGTAACCGCACTCTTGTACGACAAAGCCAATCTGTTGTAACACTTGCAGAATGCGGCTTGGCATTGTCTTGCTGGAATAAACAGAGACATCACTGTAAAAGACAATTTTTGAATGGCAGCTTATGTTGCCTTAATGTACCTGTCAGCATGAATGGTGTTTTCACGGGTGTGCAAGTTACCTGTGCCGCGGGCATTAACACACAGATAAAGTTTTTTTTTGTATTTTTTTTTAACTTTGCGCTGAAAACAATCCATATGTTTCTTCTGGTGTTAGGCCCTGAGGACAAAACATCCTTGATTTCCAAAACAATTTGAAATGTGGGCTCGTCAGACCACAGCACACTTTTTCGCTTTGGTCCAGCCCAACACAGATGAGATCGGGCTGGGTGTTCTTGATTTATGGCTTTCATGAAGCATTCTGAATACAAGTGGCAAATAATCTTTACACAAGGATGCCAGTTTATAATGCAGTGCCACCTGGTGGGATCAAAGGTCACGAGCACTCAATGTTGTTTTTTTCGGCTTAGCCATTTACGTACAGGAATTTCTTCGGATTCTCAAAAAAAAAAAAAAAAGAAAAAAGAAAAGATATTAAGGATCACAGATGTTGAAATTCCTAAAGTCCTTGCAATTGTAAATTGAAAAATGTTGTTCTTAAATTGTCAGGCTATTTGCTCATGCAGATATTTACAAAGTGGTCAACCTTGCCCCATCCTTGCTTGTGAGCAACGGAGCCTTTCAGGGGTGCTCTCTTTTCTCCCAAATCATGACAATCACCTGTTTCCATTTAACCTGTTCGCCTGTGGAATGTTCCAAACAGGTGTTTGATGAGCATTCCTCAACTTTGCTAGTCTTTTGTTGCATAGTAGCTTTTTTAGAAGATGTTTCCAGCGAGAATATTTGCAAAAAAAAACCCAATAATCCATTACTTTGATTATTCAAGATCTTCGGAGTGTATCCAAGTGAATATAGGTAAAAAGAAAGCACTTGCTAATCATTGTATTCTGCTTTCATTAACGTTTTACATAAGGTCCCAACTTCATTGGAATCGGGGTTTGTTAATTAACATTAATAACAGTTGATAATGTGATAATGTTAACAGCAATAAACAGTATCGGAACAGAGTCTTCAGTCTGTAAACAGTAATAAGAAACCATAACGTGCCACTACTTGATGCCAATAAAAACAAATAAAATTCTGAAACATACTAACTGTCAGCCCTAACAGTGGCTGTTGCTTCTGACAACGTTGTGGTATTGTGGTTCGTGTTGCACAGCTTCTAGCTTTCACTGTTGCAAAATCAACGGAAACCATTCAGGATAATGTGAGAATAAAGCATGCACATAATAATCAAGTTCCAGACAAGATTATTTCATATATATATCTGTACATTTTTTCTAGCCGTATAAAGTGAGTACCGGTATTTGAAACTGTTTGAACATTTTTTGTGCTGAAAACACAAGTCGCTACCATCATTTGTCTTCACTAAACTTGAATAAGAAAGTTCAAATCAGGAGCAGAACTTCGTAGTTGAACGAAAACTTTCCCCAGTGTTCAGTTAAGATACAGAGTATGGTGACCTAGAAAGCAGAATTTTGCCTTCAAATGGATTCCAAATTATGATCATTCCTGAAAAAATAAAAACAAATGATTGACGTCCAAGTTGTCTGAAGAAAACGCATATGATTCATTAACTGAGCTGTTTTAACTAAATCAGCTGGAAAAAAAAAAGATGCGACGACACTCAAGACTCACGATATCGAGCTGTTTCTGTGTGTGTCTGTTCCAAGTGGGCGGTAATTTGATCTCCCCTGTGTGGAAACAACATCGCCATAGTGCCAACTGTTACATTTGGGGATTGTGGTCATGTGTTCTTCCTCTGTGATGCAGACTTGTGTCTTGTTTGTGGTATAAAGCCCAGCAACATAGCAAGAAGACACTGAGTAGAACCTCCAAAAACAGTCTTGCTTTGAACCAGCTTGGATGTTGCTGTGCTAGGTCTGCACGTTGCGCCCAGAGACCACAATTTCTGACAATGACGACTACAAACAGACAGCAAAGTAAAACCAAATTCTACTACTACTGTTCCCCATGTGCTGAACTGTGCATTGGCCCGTTATCCTTTGAAAGTAACTTTTAAGACATGAACATCCATTCATCCATCCATTTTTAATCCGCATGTCCTCACGAATGCGGCGAGCGCGTTTGGAGCCTATCCCAGCTGTCCTCGGGCAGTAGGCGGGGGACACGCTGAACCGGTTCCCAGTCAATCGCAGGGCACACACAGATGAACAACCATCCACGTTCACACTCACACACAGAAGAACAACCATCCACGTTCACACTCACACCAAGGGACAATTTAGAGTGTTTCATTACCCTGCCACGCATGTTTTTGGAATGTGGGCGGGAACAGGAGTACCCGGAGAAAACCCACGCAGGCACGGAGAACATGCAAACTCCATACAGGAAGGCCGGATCAGGAATCAAACCATGCGCCTCTGCACTGTGAGGCCAATGTACTAACCGGTCGACCACCGGGCCACATATGAACATGACATTGTTATGTACAGGACAAACATTTTCCTCAGAGTTAAGAGAATATGGGCCCACTTTGCGAACTCAATGAGACTCAAGGCAGCGTGGTATGCGCAGGTTGGCCAAAAATATTGACCATATGAACACAATGAGGACAGATTAACACTGTGTTACCCTGTCTGTTGATGACACTAACACATGTAGTAAAGTAAATCACATATCGGGTCTCTTGAGTTCCTAAAAATAAGCTTCAGTCAGGAAATTAAAAATATAAGTTCATTTGGCAAATTGTACAATCGGACCACAGAGCAAAGGTATTAATGCAACGCATCCCTTTCTTCGGATTCTGGTTTATGGTTGACTTCAGACAACAAGTGTCACAAAATTGCATTATGATTGAAGCATCTATTACACAAGCATTTGACAAGGCCATGTCAGGGCTTTCTAGGAGAGCCGCTCCGCCCCATTTTCAGTACAGTAATAAATACTTTCAACATTTTTTCACAGACCGCCCAGCAATTACAGGCACATTTCCCGAGCTGCTCATAAAAAAATGAGAAAGCCAAAACTCAAACATAGCACTTTCACCTGTGCTGTGCACAAGATGTTATTGTAAGACCGAGATGCACCCACAAGGCAACAATGTGCTTGGGGGGGCGGCATATGCGGAATTGGCTTGATTAAAAAAAATCAACATCATATTACGGCGCCCTTCATCCGCATATTTATTCACTCAACGCCATGATCTTCAACATTTTAACAGACCGCCCAGCAATTACAGACACATTTCCCGAGCTGCTCATAAAAAAATGAGAAAGCCAAAACTCAAACATAGCACTTTCACCTGTGCACAAGACATGTTATTGTAAGACCGAGACGCACCCACAAGGCAACAATGTGCTTGGGGGGTGGCATATGCGGAATTGGCTTGATTAAAAAAATCAACATCATATTACTTAAGGCGTCCTTCATCCGCATATTTATTCACTCAACGCCATGATGCCATCTGCGCCAATCATCGAGACAACAGGACTCAGCCGGTCAAAACAAGGCAGCGACATCCGTTGCCAGGATTGCTCGAAACAAAAGTGAAGTTGCCGCAACACAATGTCATTCCGGAGCAGTCCCAGATTGATGCTGTGGAGAAGCCCTTTGAGTGATTCACGTTTCAAACTGGCCCTTGCCAGGTTCAGCATCTGCCGCTCTTAAACCTACCAGCTATCATCTTAAACAACGGAAAAAGATGGTAACAAACTTCTTGTTTCCCTTAAAGAAGAGCGTCTACTCTTTCTTTTGGTGGGTTCAGTGCTTAGAATAAACTGTCACAGAACACGATAATCTGCGCATCTTGAAAGATCAGTCAAAAAGCACAAAAATGGCTGGCAATCCAGGAGACTCGAATGAGTTCATCAAGCATACCCTTGACTTCTTGAGTGTTTCTCACTTAAAATGTGTCACCAGGTGAAACTGCTGCACACAGTGGGAGGTCCCAGTTGAGAGGCAGGATGAAGACAGAACACAAGGTCACTCAAAGGGCTGACAAACACGCCCCTTTTCCACCGCAGAACCGAGGCGGCTTGCCGTAGCTCGATTCACAAATGACACATTTCCACTGGCAGGTGGAACCAGATACTGGCAGGTATTAGAGGTGGCTTGCCGTGGCTCGATTCACAAATGACACTGGCAGGTGGAACCAGATACTGGCAGGTATTATTTATGCTGCCTGGTTTGCTGGGGTTCCAAGCTTGCTAAATGGATACCATATCCTGGAGGATACGTAAGGCATCAATTGAACAAATGTGGGGTTGATTCTTCAGTTTAACATTTGATGATAAATTGATAGAAATGACACAAATAACACACAGGAGAATGTTTTCTTACTCTGGTGCTTTGTTGCTGTGCCCTTTCTCGTTTGCAGCCACGTGCAAACAATTAAAGGGGGACTTGTTCTCCTTCATTGTTGTTGGTAGGGTGTCTTTCTGACTGATTCATTGTGGTGTGTTTTTCATAGTTTCTCATGACTACTGAAGCGGTGAAACTTTGAAGTGGGGGAAACAGACCGCCCAAAAAGCAAAGCAAGCGGAGCCTAGTACAGCCATTCAATAGAAAAGTGGCAATGAAGATTGTCGTTTGCAAACTTTTTGTGGAAGAAACTACAGCACCTTTACATATCAATATAATAAGGTATGCATTAGGAAGACTGTGCTAGCCACGTGGAAGCGTCATTACTAATGTATATAGATGACACCCTAAAACCAGAAGTAATTGGAAAAAAAAAAGATGCAGTCAATCCAATCATCCTTAACAAAACACACTACAGAGCATGACCAAGCAAATGAAAAAGCACCCACTGAGGAAAAAAGAAATCTACTTTTAGGAGAATCTTCATGGTCGGTTTCAATTGACATTGTCCCAAAACGTTTTTATTTAATATGAATGTATGTCATGGATATAATGTGATGGTGTATAACTGCACTGCCTACTGAGAACTGTAAGCAAAATATTAACAAGTCAGGAGTGAAATGCACGCACGCACGCACGCACGCACGCACGCACGCACGCACGCACGCACGCACGCACACACACACACACACACACACACACACACACACACACAATCGCACGCGCTTGCGCACATTCACACGCATGCACGCACTTTCTTCAAAGCTAGAATTATCAAATATTGTATGGGATCGCATATATGTGTCATTGTACTTAACTTTGTAGCCAATATCTATGAGGCGTATGGAGCGATTGTTTGAATATTTTCCAAGGTGTTAAAATTCCAGATAGATCCATACTCCCCACCTTCAATTGCACGATGGTTGCTGTATGACTCCTCATTAAAAAAAATTATGCTGATGCCAACATTTTCTTCCTTTAAGTCAAAGTCAAGCTTTATTGTCAAATATGCTCTATGTGCAACATAGAGCACAAATGAAGTTACTTTCCTTTCTCAACCACAGTGCAAACATGTGGTGCATTGAAACACACACAGCTAAAAATAAGGGCAGCACACTGAACTGCATAAAATACATAAATGTATACATATAAACAAATACAAACAATAAATAGCAAACAACAGACAACCAAGGGCACTTGTGATTATTGCGGGTTAAAGCTTCAGTCGTGAATTGTTTTAAGTGCAATAATCGGATGTCAGATGCTGAAACAGGGTCCTTACCATCAAGGAGTCGCAAGCAACATACTGTATATGGATGGTTACTATGGACAATTGTAATGTGATTAAAGTTGTGGTTCTGCAGGAGATGGTACCAGGCCCACCATGAGATTTCATGACCTGAATAGTAGCACTTGAAAATGGAGTTGTTCCCCAGGTTCAGATCACATGCTGCAGCTCGAGTGCCGTACTCGGTATTACTGTATCTTGCTAAGCGTGTGTGCGTGCTTGCATGCGTGCGCATGTGTGTGCGTATGATGATGAGGCCTCGGCCCCTTGGCGGCCCAGAAGAGTTTGAAAATTGAAATAAGGACAAAGGCAAGTGGACATCCCAGGAAAAACTAGGCCATGGAATTCAATTAGCCACGTGAGGCAAACAAACCAGCTCCCCCTAACACACACACACACACACATGCACACGCACACGCACACGCACACACACACACACACACACACACACACACACACGCACACACAAAGTCTCCATTGATTCCAAATTCATATGTAACACATTGAATCAAACCTCACTTTGGAGCAGAGCTGAGTGACAAAGCTTTTCCACCCAAAACAACCATCACCCTACCACTAGCAGTTTTCACCTCATAAATAAATGTGTAGTTAGAGTATAATGATGCTGATGAAATCCCAACGCAATTAAAAATGCATAAAGCGCAAAACTAACCAATACAGTACGGACATACCACAGGTCGAGGCGCTCTGACAGGTCTGGAGTGGGCAACCAAACGGGCCAGAGTGTCCTCTTCACCCGGCCGCTCAACAACATGAGCATCGTAAGCCACCACGATGGACACCTCCTGCATCATCTCGACTCCCGCTCGCTCGCACCCAGCAGCGAGGAGGAAGCGGAAGAGAAGAAATGAACCAAGATGAGGAAGCGCGAGTCGGGGACCCAAGAAAGAAGCGCGCGGCTGACAGCGCTTGCTTCTCTGTCTGATAGAAGAGAGAAGACTGGTTGCTTTCAAGAGTCTCTCACTCAGGAGTTGAGCCCTGCCCACTGAGCAGAGGGTGGCGGGGGAAGTGAGTGAACAGTACAACACACCTGTTTGTTTCTCACCCCCCTCCATCCCCTCCCTGAAACACTAGCAGTGTATGACAAAGGAGGATGATGACTTTGCTTTTCCTTCTTTTCCGCTGACCGATTCCTTCTCATTTCCTCTCCTTTTTAGACAGTCTGAAATATTCATTTAATTGAATCCAACATGACGAGAGTTCTTTCTAATGCTTTGTTCACACCTATACTAGAGATACATAAAAAGGAAGCTGTCGAGCAGAATGGCTTGTTTTTCCTGACTACATATTATTGTTTCATGAGGTCAAAACAAGCTTCCCCTTTAGCAGATGCACAATTGCACAATTCATTTTGCTCTTCAAATGACTGAAGGTGTAGAATATACATGTGATCTCTAAAAAAAAAGAAAAAAAGGGGAAAAAAAAAGTAATTTATCATTGTTTTACATTAGCAATCCGGTGAAACCTGTTTCCCATGTAATTTTGTCTGGGTATTACAGCGGATTAACTCCTGTGAACAATGAAGTCATTGCTGCTGTAATCATGGAGTAATTGGCAGCTATGATGACCTAAAATGTGAGGGAAAGCATTTATACATACACATACATACATACCGTATTCTCCGGACTATAAGTCACATTTTTTTTCATAGTTTGGCTGGGGGTGCGATTTATGGCTGAAATTATTAACACATTATTATATCATTTCACATGTTATTTTCACATTAAACCGCAAGAGGCTGCTCTAGACCTGTATTGATAAAACCACGATGAGTCTGACGTAAGCGACGTAGAAGAGGAAGCGCTGCATCTTCTACCTCCGGAGTTGGTGGAGTTGCTTTAAAGTGACACAGTGGATGAAGATTTCATTGGATTTAGTGATGTGGAGTGACATTGATGGTTTGGTGAACTTGTTAGTATGTTCTTTATGCTAGAGTTATCCGAATAACTCTTCGTATGTTACTTGAAAATACCAGGCACATTCTCAGATCGTCGTTTATGCGTCATATAACGTTAGCATATCGTACACTTACTCAGCGTGTTGTTTGGTATTTAATTTTTATTTTAAATTGTATGTTCTTGGTGTTGGATTTTATCAAATAAATTTTCCCCCAAAATGCGGCTTATACTCCAGTGCGACTTATATATGTTTTTTCCTTCTTAATTATGCATTTTTTGCCTCGTGTGATTTATAATCCGGAGCGACGTATAATCCGAAAAATACGGTATACATTTATACACGCACACGTGCGATACGGACCAATTTTCAGATCTCAATATTTTTCCAGGTAACTCCATATCAACACGGTAACAATATTACGATGTGTTAAGTGAAAACTAAGCTTTTTTTTTCTTCCCAGAAAAAGCGATATATTAATCCAAAAGGATGTGACAAATATTTTTTCTAACTGACAACCATCAACATGAACCAAGTTGACAATACAGTAATCCCTCGCTACTTCGCGGTTCGTTTATCGCGGGTTCAGTGCATCGCGGATTTTTTCAAACATACATAAAAAAATAAATAAATAAATAAGTAAATAAAAATTACATATACATGGAGTACAGCACTGTATATGTTGCTCTATGTGACTCGCTGTTGTTTTGCAGCTTCTCGTGGACCATTTAAAAAAAAAAAAATTTTTTTTTTTTACCTGTTTATGTTAATTGGACGCTACTTCGCGGATTGTCGTTTATCGCGGGTGGTTTTGGTCCCCATTAACCGCCATAAACGAGGGATTACTGTACATGAAAAAAAAAGAACTAAATTCATGTCGTAGTTCAACTGTGCCTGAATGATAAATAATTTTATGCTACAACAGAAGTGTTTGCTGTCTTTATGTGCATGCGTTAACTACTTGTGTGTTGTTCTGTTACAATTTGCCCATGCATTTATGATAGTTTTAGTTGTAAATCCTGCCGCACAAGGCACAATGCCTCAGAAGCCGACTTAGATTAGGGGAAGAAAAAAAAAACAGTTGACCACTCACTCAATGCTGTGTGTGGACTGGCATGCGTTTTTTTTTTTTTTTTTTAATCCACAGAAAGAATAGTGACAGTCAAGGAGGAAATAGGACATGAGCGATAGATAGATAGATAGATAGATAGATAGATAGATAGATAGATAGATAGATAGATAGACAGATCGATAGATAGTCCATAATAAACATGTTTCTGAAAGAACACACCCAAAGGTCACTGTTCCTTCAAACAATCTTTATATCTATTCTTTTCATCTGCAAAAATCTGTATGAATTTAGACGGTGATATTGAGTCAAAGAAAGAGCTCCGTTTTGAGGCAAAAATTGAGCATATATGACTTTTGAACACCTAAGTCCCCACACTCGCTTCAGTCGAAAATATGCCAAAGATCTTGAGAAATTCTTCCCATAATCCTCAAAAAAGCTAAGCCACCCTATTGCTTTTGATGAAGCCAAGGTGGCAGGGAATGTGTTTGCTATTTTAAGCAGCTTACAAAGTTCCGCTGATCTGCTTTATACGCCGACAGAGAAAAACATGTAAAAAGGAGATGGAGAGAAGAGAGAATAAACTTGGTTGGCAATCGAACGGTTTCCAGGATTTTGGTTTGTTTTCTCATTGTATGCTGCTTTGTTTAATTTATTGTGTTACTAATTTTTGATCCGAGTGCCATTCAGATTTTGATTCCGCACTGATGTAAATTAAAATATTACGGTCAGTACATTTCATTTTATTCAAGTTCTCGTTTGTTGGCTTTCACGTTGCAGGCAAATGATTCCGATTGGCTGAAATGACCTCACGTAAGGAATTACAGCAACATCTATGGCTTAAATGTGCTTAACCTTCTGCAAATGTCCTTTTATCAGTGATTTTATCTCATAGTGGTGCACAGATTTAGATTTAAAATGACTGGTTCAATGAAACTTTGAATCATTTTGACTTTATGCTTGGCGAGCTGGCATATATATTGACTTAAGAGTTAAAGACATAAATACGAGTCTTGTGGAAGAAGAAAGCAATTTTTCCCCTCCTTCTTTCCAATCCATCTCTTCACTGCCCAATTCTCTCATTTTGAATGACTTTCTCATTATAGTACTGCCCAGGGGAAAATTCTATTTCATAAACTGAAGAGTGACTTGTCTAAAAATAGACAGTAGAAGGAAGAAGGAAGCTTCAGAAAATGCACCTTGAAGAGTGCAAACAACAGCCTCATCTGCCAAGAACATGATATAAGGCCAACGGAATCTACGAATCCCTTCCACAGCTAATGCCAACATCCCAATTGGATGATTCAATGTATCCAACATTGCTTTGAATTCATCAAAACATAAGTATGAATGTAAAGAGAAAAGAACACAAGTTGTTTGATGAGCTTGTGCATGCGTACACAACAAAGAGTATCAATGTTTTTTTGTTTTTTTTTTTTTGGATAAAGTATTTTATGGAACTGAAATGCTCAAGCCAAAAATGAGATTCCATGTTTTCTGGGACTGTATTGCACTAGAGACCGAAAATGCAACAGAAGCACCAAAGATAAACATGACACACTGCAGGATGACCTGTGCTGAGACACCCCCAAACAGCCACGCGTGTCACCAACAAGCTTTCAAAGAGAGAACATTCAAATCGTCTTTGGATAGGAGACGAAAAAAAAATGCCTGATATGTAAAATATTTACTTTATGTACATTCAAGAAGAGCAACACTGGGAAAGGGTGGAGGGAACGTTATCTATTTCATCTGCCAACTCTTTCCTCTCTCTCACTCTCTCTCACACACATACAGGCACACACAACTCACAAGGACGAAATCAAATGTATTACATTGTGGACTGGTTTGGGTCTCTGGTGACCTCAGCAAATTTTTGAAATGCCCTAAGTCTCACTCACATCAAGAGGAGGATGATAACATGTTTGTGTGTGGGTACATAGCATAGAGGAATATCAGTGAAAGACAGTGGGAAAATTATGATTGGTATCCATACAAGCCACCTATCTGATAAAACTCTGATAAAGTAATTAACAATGAACAATAATTGTCAACAAAGTTCCATAAAAGCCACAGGAAGAAAAAGTTATAAACTCCGTCATAGTAAACAGCAGGACGCACACTGGAGAAAGCTGCCTGGATACACTGGGGCTGTGCCATATGGCTAAAATTTGAAATGTCAATATTTTTGCCAGATATCTCGATAACGATATTAACTATAGGTTGAGTGAAAACTAAGCATTTTCTGAAAAAGAAAAAACTAAATATCAATCGAAAAGGATGTGGAAAGTGTAGGTTTTTTTTTTTTTTAATGAGAGCTTACTGACAGCAACAACATTAACAAAGTCAGCAATAAATCAGAAATAATTAAATTTACATTGTACTACAATTGTGCTTTCATGATCAATAATGTTATGCTACAACAGAAGTGTTTGTTATGTTTGTGGGCGTGTGTGTGTGTGTGTGTGTGTATACATGGCATCCATGCGTGTGTTGTTATGTACCAATTTGTCCATGCATGACTGTAGTAAAAATAAGTGGTTCAGAATGTGGATGGATGTGTTGTGTGGCTTGAAAAAAAAAACATTTTTTTTTAATTAACCACCCACCATCGTACAGAACAATGTTTGTGTCACATGCACTGATGCATTACATGGCAATGTATGGACTCCTGGATGCCTGGATGGCATTTTAAGGGTCATGGCTGAAGAAAAACCAAATGAAGACTTTGGAGTGGCCTTGTCAAAGTCCTGATCTGAATCCTATTGAGATGCTGTGGCACAACCTTAAAAAGGCGGTTCATGCTCCAAAACCCTCCAATGCAGCGGAATTACAACAATTCTGCAAAGATGAGTTGGTCAAAATTCCCCCACAGCACTGTGAAAAACTCATTGCAAGTGATCACAAACGCTTGATCGCAGTTGTTGCTGCTAAGGGTGGCCCAACCAGTTATTAGGTCTAGGCGGCAAACACTTTTTCACACAGGGCCATGTAGGTTTGGATTTTATTTTCCCTTAATTAATAAAAACTTGAACTTTAAAAACTGCATTTTGTGTTTACTTGTGTTATCTTCGACTAACATTTTAATTTGTTTGATGATCTGAAAAATTTAAGTGTGACAAACATGCAAAAAAATAAGAAATCAGGAAGGGCGGCAAACACTTTTTCACACAATATCTTGATCTCGATATGATAAAGACATATAGTCCAGCCCTACTGGCTGCGGTCATGTGTTTTTAAAGTTTTAGTGAATCTGTTTGCATGAAGAATCTTAATAAATGGTCAATTGTACTGAAGCGTTATTACAGAAACTCTATGTGAAACATTTGCGATCGCTGTTAATCGTTAAACACAATCTGAAATCAGTGCTTGGCTAAAAGGAAGATGAGCGTTTGCTGCATGTGCTTGGAAAGAGTCAAACCTTGATGTTGCAAGCTTGCTCCATCAGCCTTCTGGCATTCTCTGCAGCTCTGTAGCGTTTGGGAAGCTGGACTCTGAAGAACTTGAGAGCGCCTTCAAAGTCTGCCTGCAAGAGATCCTCTTTGGATGTCTGCAGGTGAACAGGTGAGATGGAGAGCGGAGGGGGAAAAATTAGTCATGCTTGATACATTTTTCCTCCAAATTGTTCAGTTTTGTATTTCACTTGATTGGAACTACATACACGCATTACACAAATGCAACATACAGTATTGTACATGACATAGATCGCAGACGAATGTTCTCACCGTTTTAGGTTCTTCATTTAATACATACATAGAGTATACAAACTACGGATGCACGTCGCCACAGGCATCACCAAACAAAGTGCACCGTGGGTGGCTACTGTGGTGTGATGCATTGCATTGCTACTCCCGGACGGATTATTTTTTAAATTCATTGGGCCATTGGTGACCAACTTGTAATAAGGACATTATACATAATTTTATGGATCATTGTTTTATTTATTAGTGCCACCTATGCCGTTACAATTACATATGTTATCCATTTAGACTGATCACCCATGACCAAATGTATTTAAATAAATATAGACAAGGTTTGTCAGAAAAGTTCAAGGACTGAGGGTTACAAGATTTGAAATTTGAAATTTTCCCTTTCAATGTGGCCCAGACGATTGACCAGCACGTCTACAACGTGATCCTGTGGCGTTTACTCCATTCAGTGTGTGAAAAGAAGCGAGGGTTGTGACAGGGCAACTCATGCCTGCTTCACCATGACAACGCGCCTGCTCACAATGAATATCTATTTTACAGTTCCTTGCAAAGGGCAACATCACTATTCTGGAGAGACCCTTGTCATCACCCGACCTGGCTCTGTATCTTTTTTTTTTTTTTTTGGCCATTTCAAGGGGGTCATCAAGGGGTCTCGTTTTGAAGATATGGACGACATTAAGATAGACATGACATCAGAATTGCAGAGGATCTCGGAAGGACCATTCCAGGCAGCATATGGAATTTGCAGAGAAGGTAAGGAAAGTGTGTTAAGACTAGAGAGATTTTAGTTTGAATGAGAACTTGTTTTGGAACTTTTCAGACATATATCGTGTACACACACACACACACACACACACACACACACACACACACACACACACACACACACACACACACAGAAAAATTCCCAATACTGTACTGTAAAACTTTGAACAGCATTTGTTTGGCCCAACTCTACTACATTAATCCAATTTCATTGTGAATGAAAGTGCCCCTACTGAATAATGAAAACAGCCTGGAATTTGTGAGACGACTGTAACTCTCATAGTTGCTATACTGTATTACACTTAACTAAGACTTCAAAAACACAATCCTGCAGTGGACAATGTGCAATGGATGCACATCACCACTTAGTGAACACTAAAATATAGCCACGGATGTCCTACTTTACATAAAAAATTAAAACAAGAACACAATTTCCTGCAATGATCACATTATGATGATAGGACAGCTAGCGCCATGATGAATAAGTGAAGGTGTTTTTTTGTTATTGTTGTAAGTAAAGGGTAATATCACCAAGTGCCAAATGAAACCTCAATACCACCATCTTGTGGGGGAACTCTATTAGTGTGCATCAGTTGGTCCGACCTTTGACAACTAATATGGAGGCATTGAAGTGAAGAGATCATGCAGTCACCCAAACAGACTTGCAACATGTAACTTTTGGAAACACATACTGTACCGATATGTTATCAGGTGGAAGAAGAGAAGCTTATTGCATTCACGCACAAGCCCTTTACTCCACTCCTGCTAACTCTGAACATGGAATATTCCCAGGCCCCATTCTCACCGCGAGCAGCTTAGGGACAAAGAGTCGATGCCCCATCCCAAGTAGATCCATCACTTTACAGAAGGAATCCGCTGAGGCCTGACTGCTTTGGGCCTTTTCTTCTGTCGTTCCCTCTCCATCCTCCACTGCCCTTCGCACCGCTGGGAGTTGCAGAGGAGGCGTCAGGGCCGAAAGAGGAGGCGGAGAGGGCACAGGGGAGGGTATAGGAGAAAAGGGCGGAGTTGGAGAGGGCAAGGGAGAAGGGCGGTCCCTCTTTGGGTTTACGGTGGCGTATGACTCCAGCGTGTCGTCCGAAAGGTCCCACTTGGTCTGGATGAGTTAGATGACAGATGAGGTCGTAGCAAAGACGTAATTATCCACTGAGGAGTCCAAACAATGGGAGTTCTGCTGAATAAAGACTCGAGACTACTCGGTCATTGGACAGTATTGACCACATCCACCGGCACAGCCAATGTTGATAATAATAACAAGATGAGATGACGGAGTTTTCATCCCAAAACCGTCAGAGCCCAGATGTGACTATTCGTTGCGCCAATGTTAGAAGTAATAAAATTAGGAATAGATGCCGTTGGTTGCATAACGCTGTCTTAGACCTGCAAGCCACTCTTAACTTGCTGCAATAACAATAGCAGTCCGGTATGCCGTTGCTAAGCAACAAAGCTGCTCAACACATGGGTTGCTGCTCCAACAAACAGCAGCAACAGATACATATTCTGCCTTTTTCTTATTTTCCCTTAATTGTTCGACTTCGAAAAGGAAGAAAAAAAATTCCCTTCAGTAAGCATGAGTGAAAAGTGAGACGACACAACACTCAATAGTTTTTTGAACGTATTGCCAGCATGGAGGCTGCACTTGAAATGAAGCTGACAATATTCCAGAATATTTTTGAAATGCAAATCCCCTACCAAAAAATCAAAAACCAAACAAACCCAATATAACGGTATGGATCCTCTAACGAGAGAAGCAGGAGTGACATCCTTTTGCTGTGGCAGTATGGCAAGAGAGGAGGTAGAAAAAGATCTAACTCAAGTAAGTACAGTTTGCTGTGACGAAGACAGTATGGACTCCACAGCTCCTCAAGCAGATCTCCATTAGTAGATGCTGTGTAGTGGCCTGCAGATCCTTTAGCTGGAAGACAGCTCCTTTAAATGGAAAGTCATTTGATTCTCAACAACACAGGCTAAATGGACGCATCTGTGAGTCAGTGAATAGGCTTGTGTTATCGGGAGCGATTGTTCTGGTCAGCAACTGGGGCGAGGCAAAGCAAAAGAAGAGAGAGAGAAAAAAAAGCATGAAAACACACAGTGTTTCCAGGCCACTGCCAGTCTTGTTGTCAATGTCTCTTTGTGATGCTAACAGCTAATGGCTAGCAGTTAGCAGGTCATCTTTGTTGCAATCCGTTTGCTGGTTGGAGGTAGCGTGCTGCAAAAATATCAATCCAGCAGATGACTGGAGATGTGGAGGCAGAGGTTGTGGGTCAAAGCATTGAGACAGAATGAAAAACTGAAGGCGACGAGAAGAGGCTCCGCTCCATACAGGCATTTATGTTGGTGAGGAAGAACAGAATGTAAATTAGAAAAAAAAAAGAAAAATAATTTAAAAAAGCTTTATTCCTCCACGTCCAAATAGCTGATGGTATGGTACACCTTACATTCTGTGAGTGAGGAGTGATGTGGATGATGATGGTAAAGAAGGAAAGGGAGGGAGCCGGACCCAGATGGAGGGAGGGGGATGAGAGTGGAGAGGAGAACGCGATGGAGGGAGAGGGAAGCGGATAGAATGTCGTCATGGCTGGCCAATAGGAGGCTGGCAGTGGAATCCTATTCCACCCACCTAACATCCTCATTTGTTCCCAATGCCCAGTATTGCCTCCACGTTGTACGTCTTTTTGGTAAAGTGTATATCATTGCTCGGATAATGAACAGGAATACATCATTATTTTAACATAATCATGTAAAATATTAATAGTATCGAAAAATATAAACATGCATTGTTTAAAGGTTGATTATTTTCATCTTTCATCTAAGTTTGTTTTGAACTGCACAAGTATTTTCTTTCTACATTTTGATTCATCACTACTACTACTACTACAAGTAGTATTACTACTTCGACTACAACTACTACTAATATTATTCTGAACTTACAAGGTTGTTGTGTTACTGTTTATGTAAAATTATTGGTGCATGAGAGAACCCGTTCTTACTTTTGCTTTTCTGATCCTCTCGTGCAACATTTTTATGTTCACGACAATACAAATTTGCCAGAAATAGAGAATGTCAAGCTTAAGATTTAAAAAATGCAAGACCACAGCATGAATTAGCCGTGCAAGATGTGGGCAGCAGCCTTCTTGAAAATGAGCTTCTGACACCAACAGATATGAAATTATTGCACTGCACCGATTTCTGATCAATGACCAGAAACAGACAAATGTGTCATACAGCGCTCACTAGGGAATGTATTGCAATGTATCATTGTTTTTCAGACCATTAACAGTCATGGTTTCATGAAATAAAATGCAAAACACAATCAAAGTACACGCAGGAACAAACCTATAGCAGTTAGCAGGTCATCTTTGTTGCAATCCGTTTGCTGGTTGGAGGTAGCGTGCTGCAAAAATATCAATCCAGCAGATGACTGGAGATGTGGAGGCAGAGGTTGTGGGTCAAAGCATTGAGACAGAATGAAAAACTGAAGGCGACGAGAAGAGGCTCCGCTCCATACAGGCATTTATGTTGGTGAGGAAGAACAGAATGTAAATTAGAAAAAAAAAAGAAAAATAATTTAAAAAAGCTTTATTCCTCCACGTCCAAATAGCTGATGGTATGGTACACCTTACATTCTGTGAGTGAGGAGTGATGTGGATGATGATGGTAAAGAAGGAAAGGGAGGGAGCCGGACCCAGATGGAGGGAGGGGGATGAGAGTGGAGAGGAGAACGCGATGGAGGGAGAGGGAAGCGGATAGAATGTCGTCATGGCTGGCCAATAGGAGGCTGGCAGTGGAATCCTATTCCACCCACCTAACATCCTCATTTGTTCCCAATGCCCAGTATTGCCTCCACGTTGTACGTCTTTTTGGTAAAGTGTATATCATTGCTCGGATAATGAACAGGAATACATCATTATTTTAACATAATCATGTAAAATATTAATAGTATCGAAAAATATAAACATGCATTGTTTAAAGGTTGATTATTTTCATCTTTCATCTAAGTTTGTTTTGAACTGCACAAGTATTTTCTTTCTACATTTTGATTCATCACTACTACTACTACTACAAGTAGTATTACTACTTCGACTACAACTACTACTAATATTATTCTGAACTTACAAGGTTGTTGTGTTACTGTTTATGTAAAATTATTGGTGCATGAGAGAACCCGTTCTTACTTTTGCTTTTCTGATCCTCTCGTGCAACATTTTTATGTTCACGACAATACAAATTTGCCAGAAATAGAGAATGTCAAGCTTAAGATTTAAAAAATGCAAGACCACAGCATGAATTAGCCGTGCAAGATGTGGGCAGCAGCCTTCTTGAAAATGAGCTTCTGACACCAACAGATATGAAATTATTGCACTGCACCGATTTCTGATCAATGACCAGAAACAGACAAATGTGTCATACAGCGCTCACTAGGGAATGTATTGCAATGTATCATTGTTTTTCAGACCATTAACAGTCATGGTTTCATGAAATAAAATGCAAAACACAATCAAAGTACACGCAGGAACAAACCTATATAAAAAGCAGTGCTGAGAAATGTGAAGAATTAAGAGCCACTGTGCTTTTTAGAATGAATGAGCCATCAATCGCAGGATGCAAAATGGCTTTTACTGTAATTAGCAGTTAGCTAGCAAATGGAAATCAGTGAGTCTGTCTCTGGGCGGAAGGCCTATGCCATGATATATGGCAACTCCAATCGCACAAACTACATTATGCCCCATTAAATAAGAGCGGATGTACTCGCTTATTATTTCCATTTGTTCATTCAATTCACCTCAAACCTTTGTCTTCACAACTCACTGAAGTTTGAATCATGTTTTGTTCATTTTTTTTAATGATAAAGAAAAAAGAAGAAAAGATGAGCTCAGGTCAGATCACTCAATCAAAATCTGTCTGTCGGTCAAGCTATCTGTCTGTCTGTCTGTCTGTCTGACTCTTTTGTTAGACCAATTATCAATTATACACTCATCTATCCATCTATCATTATTATTTGTCAGACCAGTTATCAAATATACTTCAATACATTAAAAAAAATATATTTTTAAAAATTAATAATAGCAACGCATCTTCGCAGTATAAACTCGTCTTTACCATGTGTGTAAATTAATTCGAGTATGTTGATAATTTCATTTATGTTGTACGGTCTGGAATTAAATTACATTTTTTTTACTGGACCAAATATAAGTTATAATATTTATATTTAAAAGAAAAATACATCTTGTGAGTGATATTAAATATAAATATTAATCAAGGGCAGTGATCTCCTATCACAGAATCGATACATTTAACATGATACCCAACATTGTATACATTCAGGTCCTCATTACAAATGAACTTCACCTGTTATGGGTCCAAATGTAGCGTTTTCCTTTTCAAAAGTCAAAAGCATAAATAAATCAAATGATTATATTACTTGTATAAAGATGGTAATACTGCACTCGAAAGAAACATTACATTCAGATGCACGTACCGGTAACTAGTAATGTGAATAATATTACAGTTTGGAAGTAATTTGCCCAAAACTGCTGGTAAGATCAGCACTGATTGTTTGTTTCTTCTTGTGTGAATACTTTTAGATTCCAGAGATTGATGTGAAACCGGAGAGAATTTTGTTGCTGTGAACAATGTCTGGAAGTAAGTATGACTAGAAAAGTCTTTAGCACTTCTTCCTATCCTTTTTGAACATGATTCATATTGAACTCATTGTGTTGTTGTCATTGTTAAGGGTCTAATCTTATTTTCCTATATTAATCATGGAATCAAGTGGACACCAAACCTAGAGGACAGAAGAAAGCTTGTTCTCCGTGTTCTGCAATACATGAATAAAGATGATTGATGATTGCCCACAATCAATCTTCCATACGCAATATGACTGTGCCGAATGAATCGATACAACAAACCACAAGAAGATCGGGTAACACAACAAACAGGAATTCCACACCACTCAGACAAAAACAACAAAGTGGTTCAGAGAAAACCTGCACTCATTTCAGACCGTGAGTTCTGTTTTGATGATCACTGTTTGATCTTCGATCAGAATGGAAGTGTTACAAGTTACAAGTACAAGTGCGCAAGGCGTTGTCAGCATCGAAACGTTTAGTACCTGTGATCACAGCTGTGCATATATTGTTTAGGATAATCAAAGTACCAGAAGTAACTAGAAGTACCAGAAGTGTTGATAGAGACCATATACAGTACAACACACTCCATACGACACAAGGCAGAGAGGTTAAGAGTGTATCCCCATCCCCTGTGTCAAATTGTCAATGTGTCAAAAATCCCCAAAATATAAAAGGAGGAGTGACAATGAACATTAAAAAAAAAGACCTCTCCCTCAGCTGCAGCTACTACAGCCACTCGACTCCACCATTCAGTTTTACAAAACACCATTGAAGCACTGTGCATAGGGGAGTGTATATCCCCATGATCACTGCTCGATGATGCTTTGTGTTTTGGTTGTCAAACCTAAATGTGGACGGGAAATTGGAAAAAAAAATGCTGTCGACAGTAACAATCGAGCTATTTTAAGTGGAAGGTGTGTCAATGAATGAGGTGAGGTTACTAACCTTGAGCAGAGCCAAGGCAACATTGAAGATGACGTTCAGACCCTGCAACACAAATAAATAATCTCCTCAATCATTCAGATATAAAAAATAGGTCAAAAGACAACATTTTATTTGCCGCCATGTTAAAATCAGGAACACATTAAAAGCGGATTAATATGTGAATTAGTGCTTGGACTAAGATGTCTCTCCCATACATCATATATGTGATTATGACACGTGAAGAGAATGCAGAGCTGGGAGCTCTGCGGGAACACCCACGTCTCCTTAGTCTCTGTGATGAGTTCACATGGCAACACCGAGCTAAAAATATCCAGACAGCACTAAAAATAAGGAAGGCAAAGGGGAGTGCTGTCTTCACGCGCTGATTTGCAGAGGCCTCAAGATGGCGCTACAGTGCTGAGTCAGGATCGAAGAGGTTTGTGTTTGGAGAACGTTTGTGAGAGGGAAATGGATTTATACAAGAGGGGAGGATAAACGCACAGAAAGCTGGGCTGTGATTATAGACTGGGAACGCGACAGGGCAGATTAGAGGAGAAATAGTAAAGATGGAATGAAATCCACTGGAAGATATTCAATGTTGAAAATCATAAACTGATGCTGGCTTTTGTGTTTTCGGTCATTATCATGTGCGCGTTAAACATGGTGTCATATCCACACTGAAAGACCTGTTAATTATCATTATGAAAGTGTTTCTTATTGCTATATCGTGGTTATTTTAACAGTCGTCATGTTTGACATCACACTGTACAGTCTGGATATCTCACAAGACCACAGCTCAAGAAAGACGAATTCCACAAGACTACAGTATTTGGTTAAAATCTTATTTGGTTTTCTCTTTAAGGCAGCTGCTCATTTTTGACGCTCCGCATCGATTGCACCGGACTGACACCGCATCGCTGTCATTTGCCACTGGTGTGCTTGTCCTTGCAATTCAGGGACAAAGAGTCGTTTGCTGGTTGATGCATATGGGCCATGTGGTCAGACATTTAGAACATTCATATCTGCTCAGGCCAGTGTGTACAATATAGCCAAGTCTACTTTGAGTTGGAAAATAATGCCGCAAAGTCATTTGCGTTTAGTCTTTATACTGTTTCGTCAGTAAAGGTCTAATAGCACAGGTGTCAAAGTCAAGGCCCGGGGGCCAGATCTGGCCCGTCACATCATTTTATGTGGCCCGTGAAAGCAAATCAAGCATGTCAAGGTCCATGATGCTTGCTAAAGTCTGAACCAAAATTTCAAACTGTCATATGTAATCCGCAATAACAGTCATTATTCTTGACTTCTGATTTTAAAACTAGTTATCCATCAATTTGTTGTGCGCTGTATATGTAATATGTGGAGGTCATTAAACATTTATATGGTTTCCCAAAATTCATAACAACCCTCCAAGGGAAACCGTAACTACAATGTGGCCTGCGACAAATGAGTCTGACACCCCTGTCTTATAGGTTGGCAACAATTTGACCCTGAACCGAACTACAGTATTTCTATTTCCAACAGTGGTTATTTAACAAGGAAAACGTGAACACAGAACGGTGACGGTGTAGAGAAAATAATACATAAGGAGAACAGCTGTCAAAGTAGCAGGAGATGAGAGTGGAGGTTTAACGAACAGATTCTTATCATGCGGTTCAATGGCTGAGAAAAACCTGGGAAGCTTCTTATTGTTCTGCTGGGGGCAAGTGGGAGGACAGGAAGAGTGGGAGGAAAAGAAAAAAAAAGAGGCAATGAGAAAATGTATTTTTGAAAAACAGGCCAGGACAGATGAGAGGGGCAAAAATGTTTGACCAAAATGAGTCAACGTATTTGTCAGAGAAGTTTTGAACATTTCGAATGATTCTAATTTCTAAATTGATACTAAGAGTTGTAAGAATTTTCATTACATGATCGAGAAATCAAGACAATATATATTTTCTCTTTACAGCACTTAACCGTATTACGTACAAACCGAATTCCAATGAAGTTGGGACATTGTGTGCAACATAAATAAAAGCAGAACACAATGACTTGCAAATCACATTCGACCTATATTTAAATGACTGCACTACAAAGGCAAGATAGTTAAGGTTCAAACAGATAAACACGATTGTGTTTAGCAAATACTCATTATATTAGAATTTTATGGCTGCAACACCTTCCAAAAAAGCCGGGACATGTAGCAAAAAAGACTCAAACTCCTCTTTGTAACCTCGCAGAGATGAAGAGGTGAGCTTTTTACTTAGCATGTTCAACACAACGTCCCAACTTCAATGGAATTGTGTTTGGAATTGCTTACGTTGGTGTGATGATTGATAAGATACCCGTATACCCGCCTTTTCTTGTTCAAATTCGCATTTCTCGTTCTCGCTTTTAAGTAACAATAAAACAACCATACGTAACTGTACTTTCCCAAGCGCAAGAACTGTTAGAAAAATGTGTGGCACCCTATTTGTGTTGACTTGCCCATCTGTTAGTTGACAGATTGCTTCCGAGTTAATGAAGGGTGAAGAGTCATTATGAGCATGATTTCTGTAGAGTGGAAGGTTCCATTAATGCTATGAAGACCATCCATCTAATTTCTATACAGTATACATCAGTGGTGTCAAACTCATTTTAGTCGCGGGCCAATTTAGAGTTACGTCTTGCCTCGGGGGGCCGTCATGACAGTGAAACCAGAAAATGATCACTTGTACACAACAAATTAATAGATTACTAGTTTTGAAATCGGTCAAGTCAATTACAATAGTTTGTTCAATTATTGTTCAAGTGAGTGTAAACAGGGTAACAAAATTATTGCAAAATCTCAACGTTATTTATTACACATGGCAATCTGACATTTCGGTACAGATTTTAGCAAGTTGACACAAATGATTTGCTTTCGCGGGCCACATAAGATGACCTGGCGGGCCGGATATGGCCCCCGAGCCTTGAGTTTGACACCTGTGGTATACATGATGCTCTTGTGGGTCATGGCTGTGTTGGAACCTATTCCAGTTGACACGGCAAGGCGCACCCACAACTGGTCATCAGCTAATCACAGGGTTCAAATGAATCATATTGACATTGAACCTCACATGCATGTTAGGAAATACCCAGAAAACACCCACACAAACAAGAAGATCCTGTAAAGGAACATGTAAATTCCACACAAGAAGGCCAGATCCCGGATTCAAAATCCCAACTCCCATCCTGTGAGGATGTGCCAACATCCCGTCCGCCGTGGATTCATGTATCATTCAGATCCTCACCATAATGCTCTTGCTGCATGCCTGGCCTCTGTGCAAAGGTTGATCGAAATCGATATCCGTCCTATTGAATGTTTTATTCAACAGTCAAAATGACTGCTGTTTAATGTGTGGGATGAAACACTAGATCACGGCACTAGGTGGGATTCCAAATGTAATCAAGGAATATATTCTGCAATGCTATCTTTAATGAATGGGATTAGGTGATTTGAGCGAAAGTGTAATCTAATCCCTCGTGATGACACTATGAATAATTTTAGGCAGGAGATGTGATATGAAGGAGCTGCTGAGGGAAAGGGTTTGTTTTGATGCTCTCATCTACTTAACCGAGTGTATAGATGATTGTGTTATAGCGTTATGTAGGACTGAGTGGACTGTAGACTAGACAAATGCTATTAATGCACAATAGGCAATCTCATACCATTATACCCACTAAAAAAAACACCATTAAAGAACAGGATTTTACAGACACAATCTTTCTAAATTTCAGAATCAGAATCGGGGCAGGGTAAGGATTCCTAATAGCTTTGTATTTACGATTTTGTCAACCTAAAAGCCTGACTGGCAAATCTCTATTGATTAGGCAGTGTAGAAAGATCAAATCAAAGGGCAGGGTGCATCCACTTTGGATTGATGCTGATGGTTATATAGCTGTGCTTTCTACTTAGGGCCTTGACACCTACTGTGTATGATCCAAACTAAACAACTCCCTTTCAGCTGTCTCTTTGTCCGTTTTGTAGACAACTGCTCATACTAACCTTGCTCTGGCCATACTGCCTATTGCTTCCTTGACACTATTTCCCCTCACTTAGAAAAACATCTATCCCAATTTCAGGATAATGTAGTGCACTTTTTCTAACTGTACCTCACAAAGCAGAAGATCAGTGATGTGGAAAACCATGCAAAGGGGGAACTTGGCAGTGAAGAGGGTGAGGAACCACTGGGAGGCATACATGTGTGCCTCCAGGTTCAGTTCTTGGAAATGGGACCAGAGTTCGGGTTGCTGTTCCTAGAAAAGAAGAAGGAAAGTGAGAGGGATAAGACGGGGGACTTTATAAACAGGAAAACAAAATCAAGTGCAAACAATCAGTGTAAATGCGATTATGCAATACAGTGGACCCCTGCTATTGGCGGAGGATAGACAGGGACAGGGCCAGCCTGCGAATAGCAAAAATTCCATGTAGAATTGATACCCATTATCAATGTGTTGGGAAGATTTTTGTAAAAACCTCGAATAGGTGTTTACCACAAATGGGGGTTCTCGTCGTGTAGCTGGAAGGTTAGTAGCTAGCCAGTCGTGCGATGGCTAGTGGGAGAAAAATGGCCGTGAGAAGTGGGCTCTTTTTTTTTTTTTCTCCTAGACTTAAATTATCCTCAGAAGAGGATAGTTCGAGCATGGTTTTTTTATCCCCTCCTTCCCTAGTGTTTACTTTTCTCATCTAAGATGTCGGGGCGCTGTACTTACGGCGATTACCGACAGGCCCTTCGCACTGTATCCCATGTTCGTCTTTGTTTTTCATGTTTCTTGTGCAAAGCGTGCCTGTTAAGTCCAATTACCCCATGGGGTTGAATAAAGTTTTCTGAATCTGAATCTGAATCTCTTTGCACCTAATGGTGTGACCTCAGATCAAACAAGACAGAGAACATTGTTGTGTGTGCAAATCATCATGCAAAGAGATGATGTTTCCGTCCATCGCTAGTGAAATTGATAATACATATCTGACGTAACCACAATGATAGGAAGAGATACTGAAACTAAGCAGCTTGACTATGAGTTTGGACAAATCCCCAAAAACTGGATAGGACCGGGCCGTATTTCAGTAATGCGGGAGACTACATGCAAAGAGCTCATTCATACACAGCCGTGCTATAGGACATTAAAAGCTCCCAAGAAATATTACATGGCTGACTAATGATGGGTGGATAAGCATGCCAGAGACCCAAGTAAAGGTATCATAGTACGCCCGCTTTCCTTAACATGTCCCCTTTAAACAAAAACTTTTCTGACAAACTGAGCAATACCTGTGTAAAGCTAAAAATAATCTTTGACAAATGTCTTTAGACCAGCAAAGGGGGAAAAATATGGAATCACTAAATTCTGAGGAAAGAAAAAATGGAATAATGAAAACAACAACAACAAAAGAACACTTCAACACGCCACGAGTACTTTGATTCACCACCTGTGGCCTTTATAACAGCTCGCAGTCTCAGAGGCACTTAGTGAGTGATCAACAGTACTCTTCATTAATCTGGCTCTAACTTCCTGTGATTGCTTTTGCCAGATCAGCTTTGCAGGTTATAGCCTCGTCATGGACCACTTTCTTCAGATTTTGAGATCCGAACTATTTGCAGTGTATCACATCGACCTTGTGCGTCTTTATTCAAGGATTGTTTTCACAGGTTTTGCTCTATGGCTAGGTGCATTATCATCTTGAAAAATGATGTTGTCATCTCCAAATGTCCTTTCAATAGATGGGATGAGAAAAGTGTCTCAAATGACGATGTAAACTTCTGCATTTATTGAAGCTATAATGACAGCCATGTCCCCCAGTGCCTTTACCTGACATGCAGCCCCATATCATCAGTGAGAGTGGCAGTTTGCATGTTTTCTTCATAAAAATCTCGTTTTGGAGCCCTTGCTGCATTCAAGGAAGGTGGGAAGTCTGATTTTTACGACATCTGATTCACAAAAATTATATGAGAAAGAACCAGGAGGTCCAAGTTGAGAAGTCGAGAAAAAAAAGGACCCCAAGTTCAGAGACCAACTTCAAAGTGACGTCACTCGCCAATGGTGACCCCATGGAGACAAAGATTATCAACAAATATTCAGCGTTATTTACTACTACATTATTATTATTTAAAAAATATATTTATTAGTTATTCAAAATAACTTTACACAACACAGCGTGTGTTGTAGTGACTGCATGAAGATATGCCATTATCTTCCTGCATGAAGTTATTTGATGAAATGAATGAAATGCTTTCAAGATGTAAGATTCATTTATTTAAATAAATGAATTTAGTCACGCCCGTGACTAACCATCCCCACCCAGTCCTCAAATAGGCCACGCTCAGCTTTTTAGCGCAGAGCAATTTCCCGGAGTCTTCATGGAGACTTCAGAGTTGTCTACCGCTGGCGAAGCTTCTGTGAGAGAAGCGAAACGTCCTTTTTTGTTTTTTGTTTTTTACCCACAGGTACAGATGACGACTGACGGAAGCCTTTCGACGATGGAACTTTCCTGTACGACTGAGAGCCTCCACAAGCATTAAATAAATGAAGGAAATTATGAAGAAGGTTTGCTGGAAATAAACATGTGTGATGAACCAGAACAACAATTTAGCCATTTTTGTTGTTGTCGAACGCTTTGGGGTCGGATCCCGCCATCCTCAAACGCAGCATCTGATTCATGTCAGTCCACTTGGTGCAACAGCTCTCCCAGTGACTACTGTTTAACTGCAGACTAAGGAGCCGATCTAATCTGATGCAGGTGTTAGCTTTGGGAATAGAAATTGCGGGGTGATTGCATATTTTTTCTCCCCCTAGAATTGAGTGATTCAAGTCAGTTTTCAGGCGGAAGGGAGGCTCTTTTTGCTGATGAACAGTGTTTGATAGTACAATGCTTTATGAAAGAAAAATCATTCAAGAGAATCAGTGTACTGTAGAATAATTAGTGTGACTCAGCGAGCAAATGGGTTCTTTCTGATGAAAGCATAAAAAGGACTGTTTTTGTCAGGCAAATGCATCGTATTAAGTGGGCAGCTGAAAAAAAAAATCCATTGACGGGCAGCAAGCAGGTATTTGAAGCACCTTGCGTCTTTGCAGTCGGAAGAACATGTGCAGAAGGGCAGCAACTAAACGTGGACGTTAGGGTAACATCAATGAGCGGCCCCGATGTTCAAGTACTTTGATTGGCAGACATGTTTTGCGGTCAAATTAACCATTTGTTTTACAAGAGAGATACTGTATTTTTCGGATTATACGTCGCTCCAGATTATAAATCGCACCAGCCAAAAAATGCATAATTAAGAAGGAAAAAACATATCAGTCGCACTGGAGTATAAGTCACATTTTGGGGGGAAATTTATTTGATAAAATTCAACACCAAAAACATACATGCCATGTTGAAAGGCAATTTAAAATTAAAATAAAAAACAACACGCTGAATAAGTCTACGATATGTTAACCTTACATGACGCATAAACAACAAACTGAGAACGTGCCTGTGTGTCACTTTCAAACAACTCCGCCAACTCCGGAGGTAGAAGATGCAGCGCTTCCTCTTCTAAGTCGCTTTCGTCAGAGTCATCGTCAGTTGTTTTTCTCAGTTACCGCCAACATGGAAAGTATCAACACAGGCCGAGAGCACCCTCTTGCGGTTTAATGTGAAAATGACGTGAGGTGTACAATGTGTTAACCATTTCACACATAAGTCGCTCCAGAGTATAAATCGCACCCCCGGCCAAACTATGAAAAAAACTGCAACTTATACTCGGGAAAACATGGTACAACATATTTTGTTTAGAGTTCTTTGCAATCTATTTTTAAGTTCAATTGTTGTGCATAATAATTTGGAACACTGTAGTTTGAGTAAATTTGCACAAATGAACTTCCGTTATCATTGTGATAGTTTGATAAAATCCCAAATATTATAAAAGCTAATTTATAGTTATTGTTGATGATTTAGGAAAATGAAGAAAAACGGCACATGCCTAAAATCTGGAATAAAATGTAGATTAATAAACATTGTCATTGTAATCATAGTGTGGCGCATTGTTTCGCTGTCTGGCACTAAAATTCTCTTTTCTTCTCGCTCTTGCAATGAAGCGTTAAATTAACAATGTAATGTACAAAACTAAACTGCGGTCAAACCCTTGTTACGTGCAAATAGCTGTCACTCAATCGAGGCAGGCTCCACATATTACCAAGCATTAATGCAGAGTTTCAATTTCAATCATGTCGAAAAGATTGCGTGGCCACATACCTGCATGAGCTTCTCAAGCTGATAGAACTTGCAGTGAAGATCTTCAAAGTTGTTTTTGTAGAGAGCTCTGAGGCCATACTCGAACATGATTTTCACCAACACACAAAAGGCCTGTTCCTCAGGCATCTGAAACAACAGTAATAATTTATACGTTTCTAAATCTGAAATATGTCTCTGTATCTGTATCAGCGCATGGTTCCCAAACATTGAGAATTCATCTTTACTGCAAGGTTCAGTAAGTCAACACATTTGTGACTTGACAAATGGGGGGGAAAAATAAATAAGTTTACTACGAGCTGGTTACGATTACCTTTGTAAAATTACATCTGGCTTGAACAAATGTGTGAATAACAACATGTATTACCAGCATCTATGGATGAAAATATGAGCTCTGCTGAGTCTCATGGAATGTGCAGTCTCATCCAAAGGCAGTCTCTTACTCTCCAACACAGACACACATGCACACACACATGCGCGCACACACAGACACACACACACTGAGGCCATGAGATGGCATTTTATCAGCGACAGTTTATGTTTGGGGCTGAATGTGCTGCAGGTGAACTTGAGCGCCTCTTAATATTCTGCACATCTTCTCTATCACCTCTGTTCCTTCTTTCTTTTTGAACCTGCCTGCCTTTTTCCTCTACACATCCTAACATGTGTAATCCACACAACCTCACAACTTCTCGGGCTGCACAATGTATCGAAATATCATCGCCACGATAATAGCACGTGCGATATGCGTATCTCAAAGAGGTGCAATGAGTTTCGTGTGGAATTTTTTTTTTTTTGCTTTTACCTGCCTTTCACCAATCGGACGCAACTTTAAATGCGGATCCCCATACAAATGGAGGAACAGTATGATTTTAAAGCCACACACACACACACACACACACACACACACACACACACACACACACACACACACACACACATATATCAAATTTTTACAGTATATACAATTACATTTTATGTTATTACAATTTATTAGATAATAATATATTGAGCCTGCCTATTTTATTTTCTATTCAACACCCTAACTTCCCACTCTTGCTCCATTTTTGCACTGGTGCTTGTAGTCCTTTGTAGCAGTGGTCCCCAACCCCAGGGCCGTGGACCGGTACCGGTCCATGGGTCATTTGGTGCCGGGCCGCAAAGAAAGAATAAAGAACTTACATTACTTCCGTTTTATTTATTTGGAATCTGAAAGATATTTTATTTTGAAAAATACCAGATTCTCTGTTACATCCTTCTACAGTATGTCACTCTTGACGCAGGTCAAGGCGAGCTTCTCGGTCACATGATAGGTTACCGCTAAAATGAATCCGGGGAGCTAGCAAAATGAGTAAAAAAATTAATGTTTTTTGGAAGGGGGAAAGGCCCAGTCAGGAGACAGAAGAGAAGCTGACAACTTCCAAGAAAAAAAAGGCGACACAATAAGGAGTCCTACCTAAAACACGGATTTATCTCAAGGGGAGATTCCCATGCACCAAGCCCACTCCGCATAATTTGTGGCGATGGTGAGTTGTATTTTTCATGCACTTTGTATTTGCGGTGTATATTATTTTGAAAGCATGTTTAATCATGACCAGAGAGAACAGAGAGTGTTGTGGCCAAATAGGACGTTCCTCTTGTCATGAGTTGGGTTTATTATTAAGTTTCGAAAACACCACCGTTTTCCTGCAGGTCATATCATATTATTTTGTTGTATTTATCAGTCGCACCTTAAAGGCCGGTCCCTGAAAATATTGTCTGACATTAAACCGGTCCGTGGGGCAAAAAAAGGGTTGGGGACCGCTGCTTTGTAGCAGCCGTGTTTCCTTTGATAGCTCACTCCCATGACCGGATCGATTCTTTCATTTGCTTGTGATTAGGTTAACGATTTTGTAATTGTCGTGTGGTCACGAGTATTTTGTTTTTTTGTTGGATATTCTTTGGCCAAATTTTGTTTAGACTCCTGTGAAATCCAACAAGGTTGTGCTGTGTATCAGGCTTTCACTGAAAAGAAAAACTTCAGAAAGTAAACCTCCTATCGGTCATGTCCCCTTTAAGCTCCTAAAACCCAGGAGAGAAAAAAAATCCTGGCACCGTGGCTGTTTCTAACAGAAGCCCGTAGGTTTTGTGCCAACACTGACACGTTTTTTATTTAGTTTGCCAGCCTCAGCAGCTTCACCTGAAGTCAAGCATTTTGACTACCTGGCAGACTTTAGTCCCTTGCGTGAACAACCTTTTTACGATCATGCCACAGCATTTCAATTGGATTCACATCTGGACTTTTTCACTTTGACCACTCCAAAAACGTACCAATATTCTTTTTTCCCTACAACTCAGCTGGAAATCCGCATGTAGTGTAAAGGGTCTTGCCTCGAGATGTTACCATTTGCCCTGACCAGGATTTGAACAGCGGTCCCCGTGTCAGATGTCAGCTGTTTTACCCACTGAACCAAGCAGCCACTCACCATGACCTGTGCTTGCCTGACATTCCTGAAGCTACTTCAGTGTGGCTGCTGACCTCTTGACAGCTTATCTGACCAGTTGTTCTTTTTCAACAATGACAACTGTCTTCTTTTTGTTCAAACTTATTAACATTGCAAATTCTTCTGTACTCTTCTCCTGATTGATACCTTGGAACAATGAGCTCCCACTAATACTGTGGAAGCTCTCTGTGGACCTTGTGCTAAGACGTGCTGATAAATGAATGATGTCAGGAGAAGCATACTGCAACAGCTGAACTGTACCTGTGGTGAGGTACTTTAAATGATGACAGCTATGTGCTGGATCTCATTCAACATGTGTTTGCATGTGATCGGTTATTTCTGAATTTATTCATATCCCTAGTTAAAAGTGGTTGTTATAGGTTATATCAATAGTGGAAAAAGTTTTGAAATGATTTCTCTCTCTCTCTCTCTCTCTCTCTCTGTATTTGTGTGTATATATGTGTGTGTGTATCGAGGTTTACTTACATGTAGCAGCAGGACAGCTGCAAGGAATGACTGACCCTGGCAGTATCCAATTTCCTCATCATAGACAGCATAGGCCTTAAAGAGAGGGGAAAAGAAAACAGAAAAAGGTAATAAAGAATAGTTTATCAAACACAATTCAACACTGCATAGCTATGCGCAATATTTACGTGTCTAGGAACAATAACGGTATTATTGACAGCAATATAATATTTTAGGAATTGTTCAGATTTTTAGTCACTAAGAAGACACTTTTTTTTTTTAAATTGTAGAAGATTGTTGATTTTTGAGTATGCCCCGGTGTTGCATATTTCATCGCAGTCACTCTTAATATTAGACTTGAAAGTAGGCGTGGCGTCGTCAATCCTGCTCCTCGATAATTAGCAAGGTCTGCAGAAGCTGGATAATAATGCTGATCATTTGAATCAGGGGGAGACGGGAAACGGGCAGGACAGTGGCCCTCGAGGAACAGGATTGAAGACCCCAGCTTCAAAAGCATTGCAATTCAGGTAATCTTGAGCTATTATGCATTCTAAGTCCAAATATGACCCAATTTCATTGCATCTGCACCAATGACAACGAAGTTCGGCTTAGTTAGGCTTTCGGTTCTATTTAAGCACATTTGTGTGCGTTCCTGGTGTTTCACAAGTCAGAGAGAAAATATTGAACTCTCACATGTATTTCTGAGATTTAACATTTTTCAATCTGTCTTTTATCTGTAACAAATATCTGCTAACACTGCGAAGTATTACTGTCTGTTGGTTAAAAACTAGGGGGAAACCAAAGATAGTACAAAACTCAAAATAACTTTTTGTCCCCCGATTAGTTAGGAGGCAGCCACTGGCGCTCCTGTGCTACCTACTTCCCAAATCCCGCATTGAGGGGAAATGAGCCCTTGGTAAGTGGTGGCCACTCTGATGATTTTTTTGGGAAAATCTTTGGAAGAATCCAGATGTGTTACGGGTGTAACAAATGTTCATTGATTTCTATAGCTGTTCGGAGCTCCGTGCAAAATACCAATTTTGACTCACAAACTGTGATTTTTGACCCTTCAAGTATTTCGTTTCACAAGACCTGAAATACAAAACACAGTTTAAATAAAAACGAGAAAATTATCGTGACATCAAAATGTTTAACTGTGAAAATGAAAATGCTTTGAAATATACATCATCATTTATTCTGCATGTATCTATCCAAAGCTGAGTTATTGAGTGAATCAGCAGTCAGGTATCTGATTCCCTGCCCCTTTCTTAAGAATTCGTACAAGACGTCAGGGTTTGATCAATTTGCCTAATTTTGCCTTTGATGTACAGGTAACGGTGATGTCTTGTGGAACTGCCTGGATTATAATCTCCATGCTGACATGCTTGATGGAGTGTGGTATTCACACATTCCCCAACTCAGCAAGGTGACATGTTGGTTGACAGATGGATGGGGGAGGTCCTGGTGGGAGAAATCTAAATTTGTTCGCCTGAGTACATAACAGGCTCAGCAGGCTGAAGTATTCGAATCTATTGTAAACCAGACACCTATTTCAAGACAATTCTAATTCTTTCTTAAAATCTGCCTGCATTCGACTTTGGATATGATATTAAAGAACGAAAAATTGTGCGCTCCTCCACGGTTTACGTTGCCCATCCGTGATCAAACAAGTCGTTTGGTCCAATAGGTATTGAGGAATTCAACACTGCATGACAATAGGTTATACTCTTCTGTTTCATTTAAATGGCAACACATTTTTCTCGTGATACATACATTGTAAAGAGGTGATTGTCATTTTAAAAGAAATGGTTGTTATTCGAGAACGGTAAATTCAGAATAAAAAGTGATGCACAAAAAAATCCTGTCGCTATATTTTAACCATTTCAGTGGACAGCTTATCTTGTTATCAGGTTACAGGATGCATGCAAGGGTCACTATGACAGAAATGAAGGCAGGATAACAAGTTGCCCTGAATCAAGACTTGATATAGTCTCATCCATGATCACGTCAATAGCATCAGTTTAAGGCAAGTAAATATCCGTATTCTTAACCCCATGGAGATCTGACAGGTTTGAAGAACCTAAGAGAGAATAAATGTCCACTTTTTTTTTCTTTTCTTTAAAACCGTCCAATTTCCCAGGAGAGAGACACTTAACCCCGAATGCTAAGCAATAACCCATTCTTGTAGAGGTTAGTTGGAAGCGGGGCAGGATGGAACATGAACAAAATGAAGCAGACTGTCACCAAAAAAGTTCACACAGCCCAATTGACCTTTCCTGGAGAATAAAAGGTTAGAAAATTAACGACTCCCCGCATATTACCGAGTAGATTCATGTGCAGATGAACAATTTACAATGGGTCCTGGATCCTCTGTGCTGTAACCCACTCATGCCTCAAGATCCGGCCAACCTTATCAGCAGCAAATCTACATGAATTTGCATACAAATGAAGGCCAGCTCACCACTGACCTACTTGGGTTCAGACCGGATGTAAACCCACCCTGACAGGTCCTCCCACAGTGCTGATAGTACAAAATACAAAAGTGTGACCATTTAGTTATTCATTTATCCACCCATCCATTATCAAAAACTACATTTGACTTTTAGATAAAACACAATTGTGATCGCCATAATTGTGTATCTTGGCACCCAATATTGCATCCGTTTCAGGTATTTTGCCTCAGTCGTACGGATGATGAATGAAAGCGGCGGTCAGAGTTTTAATGAAATCAGCGATTATGTTGACGATTATCAGGAGTCAACTTTGGACAGATTTGTCACGTAAGCAATTGTGATTCTCACACAGATTATCGAACATGTACGTTGTTGCTGTACTTTTTTTTTTTTTTTCATGTAGGTGCCCTTTTCTATACAGTCACCAGAGATTGAAATACAAATATGAAGATCTGTTAATTGAACGTGATGATATACAGAGATTATATTTGTCGGGGACCTTTGACAAAGCGAATTTAATGACAACGCAATGGCTCTGATGAATCCATTAAGATCTTCTTCACAGAGCTGTCAGGAATAACTGGAAGAAAATATTATTTTGTGCTAACAAGTGACTTTTCCAATCTTGATAAACACAATGACAGAGATCTTCAACCATCCATCCATCCATCCATCCTTGTAAGATAACTTTGGGAATCTGATTCCGAGGAATCGATTTGGATTGTACTGAAAGGGGTTTGGCGTTACCATCTGCTTGATTCAAATCTGTTTTAAAGATTTTACCGATCGCTGACAGAACGACATTACATTTGACACTTACCTTGCAGATCTTGTAGAGTGAATCCTGTCCATCTCCGTCAGAGTCTTTGAAGTAGTCATGGGCAGGGAAGGTACGGTGGATGTCTCGAGTGATCACTCCCTCCTGAGCCGAATCCTGAAATGTGTTGTGCAGTGCGGGATTACACAATGTGTCACAAACACTGGAAAGCTCATCGACAGTTGAATGTATAGAACACGTATTCAACACTCACACATATTTTCCCTCTCTATTTTTGAGGAAAGATAAACAGACACTCCCACAAACTTGGGTGTAAATCGGTTCGGTTTCTGTGGGATTTTGTGGTGAAGAAACCGACTATGAACATGCCTACTTGGTGAAGGTCATCAGGACAAAGTTATGATTCTTTTTCAATTCAGTAGGATATAAAACATGTTCTAATTTCTCTTATGCATTTTCTGTTTCCAAACTTCAGCCGCACGGATCTGATCACACGCACGCACACACGCACGCACACACACGTCTCACGCTTCATCACAGTTACCACACCATATTGGTGTTTTCACTCACACTGTTTTTCTTGAGAGCAAAAACCTCCCTGAACCATCCCTCAACCCGAAGGGGCCTTGATGTGTGTATCAGAGAGAAACTGAAGGCCAAGAATATCAAGACACCAGAGAGAATGAGACCGAAATGCCATCTTCCATTTCTACATCAGTACGAAAAAAAATAGCGCCGGTATGATTTCCCAGAAAGGCGTTATCTTGCTCGTGCAGTCATCGAGCCAGATCCTACACCCTTCAATCGACTTGTATTTGACTCCCTTTTCTTTTGAAACTGCAGCAACTCTAGTTGTTTCAAGTTCAAGGTTCTTGCCACAGATTTTCGGTGGACTCTGCCGCTCACATCTGTTTAATCATAAAATCACAAAGTGACTAGATGATGCTGAGGCCCGAGACTCTGTTGGAGCCATACCATCTGTTGCAGGACTCTGTTCTCTCAGTCAGTGAAGATATTTATTTATCACTCTGGCTGGACTGTATGCCTGAGGTCACTGATATGCTGCATCATTAATGTTAAACGCCTCCCTTGTGTTCCAGCGTGACGAAAAACAAGCTGCCTGTACTTCTCGGAAACAATTAAGAGAATTGTATCTTGGGATCGGATAGGATCTTTACTTTGAAATACGCAAAAAGGAGAACAGCACGGCGGCGAACACGTATACCTCACAGTTGAGAGGTTCTGTGTTCGAATCTCAATTCGGTGGGGTGTTTTCGTCTTCTCCCCGTGGTTGTGTGGGCTTTCACCAGGGATGCACTCTTCCGCTCATTCCAAAAACATTCATGTTAGTTTAACTAATAACTAAAATGTACAGCACATATGTGTGAATGCAAAGTATTGTTTGTCCAAACAGTACGTGCTCTGAGACTGGCTGTTAAACAGTTAAGGGTGTGGCCTGCCTCAAGCCTCAAGTCACCTAAGATCAGCTCCAGCTCACCTGTGACCTTTAATGGGATAAGCACTTTTGAAAAAAGATGGATGGCAGAACGATGCCAGGGAGGAAGACATAAATGTGACTTAGTTCTTGATTCCGTTACACACTACATACAATTGGATGGTTTTCATCTAAACGTTTGGGGAATATTAGGGGAATAGTAAGGACCAGAAAAATGCAGAAGAAATTGGGTACAGTACACCCCTGGAATGCCAGAACTTTGATACAATATTGAAATATGAAGACATTTAAAATTCATGTCCCAGTTGGTTACTATGCTTGCTGCAGGCAAGCTTGCATGCCATGTTTTAATAAGATTTGCAGCATGGAGGTGGTCTTTATGTGCATTATGCGCTAAAGATGATGATAACAGCTACAAAGTGCCTTGTGTTCATTAGGCCACACAAACAACAAACAGCTTTGTATGTATGAAGGCAATATTGTGTATGACTGTTCTGTTATTTTTAACCTCACAGAAAATGTAAGCCCCTTAATGAGATTCCTGAACAACATTTTAAGAAGCAATATTATTCGACAAAGATCACAGTGAATGTAATCTGGGCGGCACGGTGGTCGACTGGTGAGCATGTCGGCCTTACAGTGTAGAGGTGTAGGGTTCGATTCCAACTCCGGCCCTCCTGTGTGGAGTTTGCATGTTCTCCCCGTGCATGCCTGGGTTTTCTCCAGGTTTCCTCCCACATTACAAAATGTTGCATGGCAGGCTGATTGAACACTCTAAATTTTCCCTCCGTGTGAGGGTGAGCACGAATGACCGTTCGTCTCAGTGTGCCCTGCGATTGGCTGGCAACCAGTTCAGGGTGTACCCCGCCTACTGCCCGAAAACAGCTTGGGGAGAGGCTCCAGCACGCCCACAACCCAGGTGAGGATAAAGAGATTAGGAAATTGACGGATGGATGTTAATCTGGTCACAATTGCACCGACATTCACAAAGAATAAATGAGGTGCAATTTACGGGACGTATAAAAGGGAATTATCAACAAACAATGTCTCCTGCACATTTAGGGGCATGTCTATTTTTTTCCCTATGATGCTGCATACACGCTTGGGCAGTAACGGATTGCATGTAACGGTGTTATGTAATCATGATACCAAAAGATGACAACTTTATTCTCTAATAGATGAGGGAAGAAGTTGTTCCCGAAAGCGAGCCTTTTAAATGCGACACAGAGGGAATGGAGTACGGTAAGCGGCAACTGTTTGAATAGTATTCACCTGAGTATTTCTTCATTTTAAATCAGATCATAGATTACAAGGAAAAGTGTGAGCTGTCAAAGTCATCCAGACAGCTGGTGGTTTATGGGGGCGAGCCCGCATGCCTGCACCAATGGCTACTCACCTTGAGAAGTAAGTGTTTCACCTCCTGTCACAAATCTCCCACAGCGTTACTATTTAAACACCATATCGCCAATAGAACCTGCTAAACGTGTGTGTCACCTGGAAAATAAAAGTTTTTTCCCCCAGTTGAAGTCATGTATCGTCATTATTGTATCATTATTACAAAGGTAGGAGGAGGTGTGTGTGTGCGTGTGTGCGTGTGATTGATTATGTGCAAGTAGGTGTGTGTGTGTGTGTGTGTGTGTGCGCGTGCGTGCGTGCGTGCGTGTGTGTGTGTGTGTGTGTGTGTGTGCTACCACTAACTGTCAAGGTTGCCTTCGTAGGCTAAATTTGTCCTCGTTTCTTCCATTTTCCAGACTGAGTCTTGTGGATAAGCAAGGCACTTAACACACGAAGGAAGTAGTTAGCATGTCTGCTTCACAGTTCTGAGTTTTTTTTTTTTTTTTTTGAATACCAGGTGTTCTGGCATCCTTCTGCACAGTGGCTCCAAACTAACTTTTTTTTTTTTTTTTTTTTACTTGGAGCACAGTGGCCCCTAGTCTGAAAATTTAGCGATAAGTGCAAGTGCAACATTTTGAGGGGTTTACTGTATATCGAGTTGTGAATTAAATATTCACATGTCCACTAATTTTCATCATATTAAAGAGTAGAAGTTTGCGAGCAACAAAAAAATATTCACGAGTTTAAAAAAAAAAAAAAAAACAACAACAAAAAAACCCTAGCAAATTCACTGGTGGCACATGTGGCAGAAGATGAAAAACGTATTTGCAGGGTCTTGAATTTTAAGGGCATTGTCCACCTCTGGAATTGTGCCCCATTTCAAAAACATGCATATTAAACAGAAAATACCAGAAAAATATACATTATTAATACATATTTAATTTGCATTTACATCTTTATTAGCATATTTGGTATGGGAGGAAAAAACACTTACTATAATGTTACGATACTAGGATTATGTTACTGATTACAGATACTGTAACTAATAACAGTATTGGACTACATTTTTAAAGTAAACGCTGCCCAACCCGAGTGCATTTCGATGAATTATAAATGGGATGTTAAATCAGGCTTTGTGCTGAAGAAGCAACTTATCTGTCTATCAGGATTCTGTCTCAAAACTCTATTTCAGAATTCCTTGAGTCTACTTTGTTGTTCGATAATTGATAATTGATCATTTAATGTAGGCATTAAGTTGCTCACTTAGTTCTGCCGTTTAAATGCCCTGCGTTTACTGACCATGTGGAAATGGTTATTGCTACTAAAAGCAGCCTCTCCAATCGTGTGACCTTTTATATGTGCACAAGACCGTTAGTGCTTGACTGCTTATATCACTGTGTCCAAAGATTAAAAAAAAGAAAAAAATCTATGGAGGTATATAGCTGAATCTCGTACACAGACGTGTCCATTACTCAATAAATATGCACGACCCTTTGAATAAACCATTTTAACACAGCTCTGGACAGAGAGTACACTAAGCTGAAAGTGTTCCCGCATATTAACTACTTGCTCGCCTCCAACTGTGAGGGTCTAAATGTCACAGAAAGTCATGCTGAAATGGAATTGTAGAAGAAAGGCATGTGTCATTCAGAGCTATGAGTGGCAGAAAACGGTTTTTAAAAAGGCAACTCAATCTTCAGTCGAACAAATGCACATCAACCACAATCAGAAAGACGCAGCAACAGTGTGCCTCATCTACTCTATTTTTTATCAAACAGAATTGTTGAAATAAAAGCTTATAGGAACATCGGTTTCAAAACAAAAATGCCACATTTTTCAGGTCCCTTTGTATTCAACATGAAAGGTTCAAATCCCTCATGAGCCCCCAACTAACGTGACAGCCCTTTTTAAACATCATGGCTGACATTAAACAACAGGCGACTTTGAACGCAAGTGGTGATTTAATTCAGAATGTCACTCAATTGGTGGGTAGAGCAACAAAAGATGCCAAAACAAATGGAAAATCACCAAACAAAATTCCAAATTCTCAACAGGCCATCAACAGAATTTCCAGTCTGCATTTGAGTCCAAGTTTATACACTCCACAGCAACGCAAAGCAGATGCTGTTGCCAAAAAAAAAAAAAAAAAAAAAAAAGGAAAACACCACACGGTTTACTTTGGTGTTTTACGAAAGTGCCAAAGTTTTTACAAATAACGGCCCAGCAAAAATACTCAAGTCTCTATAGCAGGGGTGCCTAATACGTCGATCGCGATCGGCCGGTAGCCCACGGACTGGTCCCAAGTCAATTGCAAGAGGTAAAGGGGGAAATGGAAAGAAAAAAGATATATTTGTCTGTCTGTGTG